AATCTCAATATCTGCAGAAACTGCATGCCTGCTTTAGATAGCTGTGCAGGTGAAATGGACGACCCATGACGACCCTCTTGGCTCCAAAGGATGTAAAGCAAGAAGGGAGGCCACCAACACTAGCAATTTCCAATCGGCACCACTGGCAAGAACTCAACAAGTGCCTGTGGAGTCTGGAATATCACTTGCAATCCTTGGTTGCCAGTGGTCCCCGAGTGTTGCTTCAAAGCTCCTTTGGTGGTTTACCTCAAGGGTTCCTAAGGTTCTAGGAACCTGACACCTGGTTCGCCGCCGACTTTCTGCAAGAACCCGTTTTGCATCGAAACATGTTCGAGCTCTTTGGCAGCGCCGCCAATCAGCAATGCCACATCCTCAGCCCGGATGGCTTGGAGCATGTGGCTCGATGGGGTATGAGTTGGTAGCGGTCTCGTTCATGGAAATCAAATCTTACAGTAGCACTGCCCCCAAACAATTTTTTTGCGTTGAGATGTTTTTGATTGCCTTCAACTAGACCTCTTTATATTCGCAAGTGCAACAAGGTGTTTGCCACCCTTTACTGCAGGAGAGCAGCATGTCATGTTTGGAGAAGGAAGGCATGCATATGCAAGCATGTTGAACTTATCGCGCTATATCACTAGCACTCTTGGCTCTGAAAGTATACTTGTTTTCGCAACATGGCTTTACCTGACCTTGCCACTTTGGCGGATGAGTGGGAAGACAACAAGGCTTTGCGAGACTTGGCTCGCAAGACTGGCTCGCTCTTCAAATCTGATGATGATGCGGAGGACGTGCCACCCTGCACAGTCAAGGGCTTGGAGGCCAACTACGATACCATTTTGCCTTTGATCACGCGACTCTCCGATGGGGTTGGTGGTTTAGACATGGCGAGCATTCCGCAGCTAGAGCAATCGCAGCTTGATTGCATGCTATGTTGTAGCTGATTGGGTTTGTAGGCCTAGGGCTCACGATGGCTCTCGACTCTCAAGGTATAGTCTGTCATGCAAACGCATGCATGTGGGGACCTTTTCACCGCCAAGGCTGGACAAGTTCTATGAAGCTGTCCATCTGACACCGACCAAGCGGCGGTTCAAGTTGGAGGCCTGGCTTTGCAAAAAGTACGCAGTGCTCGTGAAGAGGAAGCTGCAGCGTGGGCAGCTGCCACGCTCCACCTCTTTGAGGCTGTTGCTTGCTGCTGCATTCCCCGCAGGAGTCTGGGGAGGCGACCAGGATGAGGATTGGGCAAGAGGGTTTTTGAACCATACGGCTCATGAGTGCAAAACTTTGGCAGTTGTTGTTCAAAGCCATTTGTCCATAATAGTTCATTGCCTGTTTGAATTGACTCTCTTGACTCTCTTGACTCTGCAAGGACCAGGATGGCAATGATACCAATCGACCTGATGGCACTGGTCCTGGTGAGCCCTTGGCATTGACCCAGGAAGAGGAAGATGCTGAGGATGAAGTGGCAGTGGAAGCCGAGCTCAGCCATGACTTTGACGAACCTGGAGTGATCGCTGAAGCTGAAGCTGCTGAGAAGGCAGGTGAGAGTCCAGAGGTGATTGACTTGGGGAGCCAGGAAGATGATCAACTTGAAGAGCCGCCTGCCATGGATGAGCCATTTGCTGAATCTCAAGCTCCTGAACCCGAACCCCTTGATGGAGCTGAGTTGAGTGATGAACCTCCAGCAGGTCCTTCCACTGACCTGGTGGGGGATGCAGACTCACAGGACTTGCAAGGGCAAATCAAGGAACTCCAGGACAATCTAGCTCGCATGAAGAAGCTGCGGACTGCCAAGAATCTTGATTAAATTGTCAACCTGTTCTTGGTTAGTGTTTGCTGCACCCCCTGTGAATTTGTTCCAGAGCGAGGTCCCAAAAGTGGGAACCTCTTCATGTTCTGATAGTGCTCTTCCTGAGGCAGGCCCAGGAGGCCTTGTCACGGACCACTAGTGGCATCTCCAAGACCATCCGTGTGGAAGAGTCTTTGCCCTATGGAGCGGACAATATGGACACCCTGTTGCTCTCTGAGTCTCTTCAAGAAGCCGCTTTTGACCGTCTTGCTGAAGAAGCTCCAGCAGCCGAGATCATCCAAGAGGACATGGACCCAGCTTCTTGTCTGATCACTGCATCGACCAGCACACGGGGTACAACTTGCTTTCTTCTATTTCTTAAGATATTTCTTAGGTGTTTTTGGTTCAAGTGTCAAGGCATGTGCACCCCAAACAGGGCACTTGTGGCCTGCATACCCTGTTTCTCAGTATTCCATCCCAGGCTTTGCGCCGCCAGCAATTCCGCATGAGGCAGGAGAAGGCGGCGGAAGAAGAGGAGGGGGAAGGCCCACGCCCGAAGGCCAAGGCAAAAGCCAAGGGCCAACCCAAGGCTAAGGGGAAGGCCAAAGCAAAGGCCCAGTCAAAGCCGAAGGCCAAGTCTAAAGCCAAAGCTTCACCGGAACCAACAGCTGATGGAACAGTTGGCGCAACAGCTGATGCCGGAGAAGCTGAGACAAATGATGAGGTGTCTGGGAAGGCTGTGCCTTCAGAGCCAATTCATGAAGATTGTGCGCCTTCAAAGGCAACTTCTGAGAAGGTCCAGGCGTCGGTTGAGAAGGGAGCACCCTCAGAGGCGGTTGCTGAGAAGAGTGGGCCCTTAGAAGCCGATCCTGAAAAGGATGAGCCTGCAGTGGACCCACAGATGGGGTGCTCGAAGGTGGATCCTACAGGTCAGCCTTCAAACCCAGCATCAAGCAAGGCTCGGTCTGCCAAGGCAAATGTTGATGGAAAGGATGTATCTTCCAAGGCACGGCTTGCACGCGCCAAGTCAAGTGCCAATTTGCCTGAAGAAGAAGAAGCAAAGAAGCCGGCTCCGACAAAGCGAAGGCGTGTGAAGGAGACCCCTGAAACCACGGATGGTCTCAAGGACTTGCCTGTGGAACCCCAAGGTGACAAGAATTCTACCCCAAAGCCAATGGAGCCATTGGATTCCAAGATGGGCGAGAAGTGTTCGGAGGTAGCGGACCCGGCTGAAGTTGGAAAGAAAAGGGCCCGGAAAAGTGAGGATGGAAGCGGGAAGAAACGCAAATCTGGGGCTGAGCCCCCAGAGGAGGGAATTCTCTACCGTGGCAAGGCAGCCAAGAAGAAAAAGGAAGATGGCGCCAGTGCTCCTGCTCAGCCTGATGCCACTGCCGGGAAGAAGTCGCGAAGCAAAACCTTTGCAAAAAGGTACAGGCCAAACTCAGTATTTGGAGCTTCCAAGTGGGATGGCATCAAGGAGGCATTTGACAAAGTCATTCGCCCCAATGTGGATGGCCCCTACACTGCTCACGAGGACACTGATTTCAATAAGCAACATGTCCTATCGAATTGCTTGGGCAATGCGCTGTCTAATCCATTCTGCATGCTTGGGCCATTGTTTGATGGATGTTGATTGTTTTCTTGCTTTGCATTGAGCCTGGAGATGCCCTGACATGATCAGGGCATACCAGGTCTAGTGCATAGGATATATGGCTGTCAAATATGCATAAGTTTGCGTTTGACCACCTTCTGTCCTGAAAATCATTTTTTGGCAACTGCAATATTCAACTTGTGCCTTGTTTGCCTGATCGCCTGGAGGATTACTTTTGGACCTTCTGCAGCACAGCTTGGGACAAAGCCAAGGTGGAGATCACAGGTCAGAATGTCTATGACAAGGCAACGAAGGCAGCCCATGAGTATGTGAGCCAAGTCAATGCCTACCTAGGAAATACTCCGTAGGTTGAAAGTTCGGCTGGCAGCGATCCATAGATCACCATAGACTGATCGAGTTAGGGAGCTGGTTCAAGAACAACCTATTTCTTTAGTATGTTCAAAAAAATCTTTGGTATTGGTGACTGGGTCGCTGCGTGCAATATTTTGGTTGAGGGCTTTAGATTCCAGGGGAAACTCCTGGTAGTCAGGCGGTCTCACCTTGACCGCTTGGGCTTTCCAGGCGTGTAGGAATCTCACAATGCCAGAAATCCCTAGCTAAAGGATCTTTCATGATCTTTCAGTGGCAACCTACGTGCCACATGAACAGTTGACGTGGCAACTGCAAAACCAGCTTTTCTCAAGTGTGAGGTTCTTATCTTCCACTGCTCAGCCTTCCCCACATGGGATCTTCAGTCACACCCCGTCGACACCCGCTCACGTCTGAGGCCTGACTTGCGGCCATGGTTCGAGGAGATGGGTGGTCTCGCCGACTTCTTCCTGCCAGAAATTTCTTGAAGCGTGACCGTCACCCCAGCTCATTTTATTTGTGCAAGTCTCTGGGAGGCCCTCACAAGTGTTAGTAAGAATTGATGGGCCCATGCAATCGAAATAAGGATTTTGAAATGAAACGGAATGAAGGAATGAAGCTTGACAGCCACTGTGCTTCTTGCCAAAAAACTTTGCCCGCTACTGTCTCCTGAACCGATAGAAAACATCAAGGTTTTGACTAGATTGGCCAAAGTGGCTGAAGCCATGCCGTGCGATGAAGCCAAGTTGAACTTGGTCCTAAAGAGACTGGATGCCCTTGACGCTCCTAAGGCCAGCTTGGCGTTGTACGCTATGCATTTGTGGCTCTAGAGTGTTTCTCCACTACACCCTTTCCAAGCACCACGAACAACCTCCCTGCATAGGTGTTGCTTGGGATTGTCATCCTACTCGCTTGCTTGGATGATGTCCGCATCTTTACGGAGGCAGGTTCTGTTCCGAAGCATGGCTAGGTGATCAATAAGAATGGTTTGCTATATAGGTGCTTTTTTTGAGCTTTGCCTGACACCGACAAATATAATCTTCTTGTGCTGGAAGCGTAACTTGAATCCCAAACTGCTTGAGCGCCAGATGTTTGGTGGGGGTGAAGAATCAACAGATTTTGCAAATCGATCTAAACTCTGTGTGTTCCCCTTCTTGAACGCTTCCTGGTTGGTCTCCACTCCTTTAAACAAAGCCCTCGCAGACCTACACCTTCATCGAGTTCTTTGCAGGAAAGGCCTGGGTCTCGACGTGCATGAAGGCTGATGGCCATACCGTGGCCTCTTTCGACGTGCTGTACGGGGATCCCAAGCCCATGAAACAAGATGTTATGAATTTACTTACACCAAGTGGATTCGCGTGCCTGGGTCACAAGGGATGGGATACGACTTGGGAGTCGGAAAAAAAGGCTGGTGTTTCAATAGTTTGGTTCAGTCATATCAACCATACTTACCATGTAGTGTACACATGGTTCCAAACTTTTCCTGGAGAATGGACTTCATTAAAGAACCCAGAAAAGCCAACAGTACTAAAAGCACTGAACATGTAATTTTTTGGGGTGGCCTTTTTTAGCGCCAAAACCTTTACCCAAGCGGTCAAAAAAGGCCACCCTTCGAGGGGTGATGAACGTCTCTGAGGACCTTAGCATTTGGTATATGGCTAAAGATTGGGCATGGCCCCCTGATCACATATCGAAATCGGATATGGTTAAGTTGAGATACTAGAGACTATATATTCCGTGCTGGATAATAGCTATTCCATGCTATTCCGAGTATTTGCGCTACTTAGCCACTTAGCTGCTTCATCACGGAAAAGTTCAGCAAATCACAAACCAACAAAGCTCAAAAGGCCTTTAACATGGTGTTGGAGGTCTTCATCATTTTGCTCAACCGGCTTCGCTTGTTCATGTGTACGTATGCGTGACCGTCCCACGCATGGCTGGACCCTCCCAGGTTGGCCGCTTTGGCAATCCTCAACTGCAAAATGGATGGCTTTGTCAGCTTCCTTGGTCTTCTTTGCAGCAGCTATGTCACTGTGAATGCCGGCACACATGGGCGGACACCTTTCCATCCTCTGGGAAACTCACACTACCCCAGCGTGCAGTTGTCAAATGCCCTTACTTCTCGAACCCTTCGATTTGAAAAACCTTTGGGGTGCAAAATAGGGATTGATTCAAGATCTCGCCTTCCCTGCCAATCAGTCTTTATGCATGGGTTTGTATTTTCATGTGGGCAGAAAGCAGAATTCCCAATGTTTAGATGTGTTGATGCTTTCAAAGCATGTTGCCCAATGCCAGCACTTCCCTTCCAGGGCTCCTTGTCTGGTCAGAAGCCTGCCCGGACCCAGGACCTGCCTCTTGATCTATTTGATCACTGCGATGGGCGGCGTATGGATTCTCGAGCAACCCAGAAGCTCCTTAGTGAGTTGGCATCCACGGATCAGGCTTTTATGGAAATCCATCCCGAAGGCTCCAAAGTCCAAACCAATTTTGTGGACTAATGCATGGGAACATATGCTTCTGAGATCTTTCATGAACAACCATTATTTTGGTTCATTATGTTGTCCCCTTCATGGTCATCCTTGGCAGGTATGGCAGGCGGCGTGGTGGGCCGCTCACTACCGAGCACCCACCCCCAAAAGACATATCTGCTGGGCAAACAGCCCAGCAATTGTACACTTCGACATGGGCACTCTATCCCGAGTTCTTCAGAAGGAGTTGGCCAAGAAGAACAACCACGCAAAACCAACGGAGACGTACTCATCTGGTGGGAAGAAAAGGTTCAAAGGAACTAAACATCTACGAGCGACAGGGCCCCTACCTCAATTGTCTAGAAATCAAACAGTCACCGATTCTCCACTCGGACCCAACATGGCATGCTATTTGTTCGTTCTCGAGCTTAGGAACTATACGCCCATGTTTGGAGTGCGTGTGACGAGGCTGCACTCCAGGTTTCTCTCCACTCGTGCTCCGCTCCCGCCCATATCGCAGGATGTGCTGGATCTACCAGTCAAACCTTTTTTTGCCCACTTGCCGTGGGTGGATCTTTGGGAAGATGGAAATATACGGGAAGTCATCTTCTACTTGAGGGGTTGTGAAACCCTGAATCTTGGAGACTGGAAAGATTGTTTTCCAGCAAAGCTTTAATTGATAACAATTTAGCGCCCGTTCTGCACAAAGCATGGCGTGGACTACCAACGCCAGAAAGAGCCTTGGAAAAGGTTGCCAATATGTTGTGCGAGGGTTGAGTTGAAGGGGTGTGGGAGAACTTTGGGCTGCTCTCCTGGTCCACAGCACTGAGGGTGTAGATTCCCAGTTCAGCCATGGCCCTTTAGAGGAAATTAAACAAAAATACATCTCACTCAAGCAACTTTTATAGACTTCATCATTTTGGTCAACCGGCTTCACGTAATTATCACGTAAATACGTATTTCTTACGTATTTGTTATGTAAAAATTATGTGGGTCAAAATGAGACACGTAACAGATGCGTAAAAACACATAAAAACGACGTAAAAACGCGTAAAAATATATGTAAAAAAACACGTAATCTGGACTGTTTCTGCATATCTCCAATTTGGGGTCCCTCTGGTGCAAATTGACCATTGTCAAAGGATTTAATTCTAGAGTTTAAACTCACACCCATCCTTTGAGGCACCCGGCTCAATCAGCTAGTTCTCTTGCCCACCTGCCCGGTACATGAAGCCGGCCCGAACGCTCAAAAGCAACGCTTGGAGCTGCAGTGAGTTGAAAGAAGGGAACTCTAAGCTCATGAAGGTTAAGAAGGAAGCCGTTCCAGATGAGCTACAAAAAGAAATCGAGGATAGGTTTCTCACTGAACACTCGGCAACATGCCCCCTTAGTATACTTTGACGGGTTGTTGATATGCAGCATGTTTAGAATGTTTGCAGGAGTCCACCAAAGCTTTGGAGGCTTTGAAGAAAAAGGCTGCATCCAAGAAAGCCCAGTATGTTTCTTGGTCGTGCACATGTTTTTTGATGTGCACACATGCCATGTTTCACTAGATGCGCGTGCATACACTCAGGCTGATGACACTGAGGACACGGTGCCTGCAACTCAAGCTGCACACCATGCACACATTGTTGTTGCACAAAATATCGCGATTGTGTGAAAGCTATTCACATCCAAGGCAACAGAAGAGGAGTTGAGGGAAGCAAAAAAAAAGAGAGCAACAGCTGCCAAAGCCAAGCCTCAGCCAAAAGAGAGCGACACCCACGAGGACAACACACAAACAAATGCAGAAAAGGACACAGCAAAGGCAAAAAAGGAACCAAAGGCAGCCGCAAAAAGCAAACCCAAAGCACGCCCAAAAGCGAAGTCTGCCCCTGAAAAGGCTGAAAAGCGAGCCACTGAACCGCCTGTTGAGCAACCTAGCAAAAGGGTTCGTGGGAAATCCGCAGACGTTGATGCCTTGAAAAAGGCCTGCCAAGCATGTCTTGCTAGCTGCTTTACTTGTTTAAATGCCTACACAGTTGTTTGGATGACAGTAACTTTGCATTTCCAGCCAGGAAAATGAAGCCATGAGGAAGGAGCTTGACAAGTTGAAAGCAAACAAGAGTGCCAATGAACTGCAAACACCGCCTCCAAAGCTCAAGGCGCCAACCCCGAAGTCCAGTGCATCCAAGGCAACCCAGCCCAAACAGAAAGCCAAGCAAGCAGAAGCCAAGGATTCAAACAAGAAAGCCAAACAGCCAAAGCAAACATCTGAGCACAGCGATGACAATGATGATGGTGATGATGACAACAGTGCCGACGAGGAAGAGCTCTTTGGTAGTTTATTTGATAGCGATGATGATGATGGTACTGCACATGGGTCTGGTGAGTCTGATGATGACAGTGCCAACGGTGAGGAGCCAAACAAGGATGCAAGTGAGGAGGAGGAGGAGGATGCGGAGGATGAGGAGCAGGATGGAAAGAAACGAAAGAAAGCGCAACCAAAAGGTAAAGCAAAGGCAAAGGCAAAGGTTTCTAGAGGTGGCAGGATTGAAAAACAGGATGATGACAAAATGTCGGAGGCCGCCCAGGAGGCTAGGCTACGCAGACTTTGTCAGAAACGTGCCCACGGACGCTGCCACGTCCCTGATGCGATCCATGAGCAGTGGAAAGCCGGGGGTGCGGGTCGTGACGAGCTTTTGGAAATGCTCCGAACAAGCGGATTTGACAAGGACAGTTGTTTTTGTGTTGTTTTTATAATGTTTCTCTAGGATGACCACCGCTTGACCTTAAAAATTCATGGATACATGTGCACCTCCAAAGCGTTGCTGTGGGGTATCCCCCCAAAATGTGGGAATGCGCATGCTAGGATTCCTTTCTTCGGACGGTCAGCAAGATCAAAGAGAAGATCTCGCAGCGGAGTTCGATTAAGAAACGTGGGTGGTATACAAAAGAAGGTATGAAGACCAAATTGGGTTGGAGCGCGCCACTCTACAGCTATTGGGTTGACTGTTGTTGTATGCTCAAACCCCTTTTCCTAAAGTCTGTGGGACCTTCTAATATTGAGGTCATACATCAAGGATGTTGTCAAGTACTGTGAGGAGCCAGGCCGTGAACACCTGTGGAAGAAACCTTTCCGCAACATAAGTCTAGACATTCCAACAATTCTAGGTCAAGGGGGTAGACTGATACAAGTTTCAAGCATCCCTGTTTTCATGTTTAAAAGCTTCTGTTCTGGGCCTCGGTATAAATATAACTGAGGAAAGACAAGTATAACCCAAAGCTGCGCAAATACTACGTTGAGTACGAAGATGAAGATGCAAGTGGTGATGAACACCGAGAGATTGAGCGTGAAGAGACACAAACGGCTAGAGTCCCAGTGTCTTTTACCATTTTCCTGACCTCCTGACCCGGCCACTCCCGGCCTAGGCTGACAACAAGAAGGTCAAGTTCGGGCGCCTTGGCAAGGGTCGCGAAACAAAGTCTCGGCCACAGATCGCAGAGACTGAGAGTGAGAAGGAGGATGACAAAGAAAAGAAGGCACTACAAGCCAATGGGGGTGCAGAGGACTAATTTGTAAAGGGTTTGAAGCAACCATGATTCACTCAGTGAATCAGATTCTTTTGTATGCCAAAAATCCCGGTTCATATGTATTATGGGGAGTCCTTCATGCATTGTCTCTTGTTTGGCTTTTTGCCTAGTCTTGGGTGGAGGGTCGACTACGTCAACCCTCAGGAGCTGCAGAAACTGAAGAAGTTTTCCGACGCTCTTCTTGCCAGAGCCGGTAAGCTTGAAGAGTTGATTTCTGACCTGGAGTCTGGTTTGGCAAAGAAACCTGACTTTTCAGGGAAAGATCGTCTCAGGAAGTCAGACTCTCAAATCTCACGCATGTACCAACACCTGCAAACGTGCAAAGCAACCACTTCAGTCTGTGTTCGGGCAGCCCGGCCCATTGATCGAGGTCTCTCGCCGCTTTGGAGGACGCAGTGGGCATCCTGAACAAGCAGTACGAGGACTCTGAGAGCACGAGGGCGGAATGCAGCCAGCTCAAAAAGAAGGACCTTCCTAAGGATACCTTGGATGAGCCAAAACCTTACTTGCATGCTGTTAGATGCTGAAAGGTGATGCTGTTTTGTATATCTCCATACGGAAAATATATAGCTTCTGTGGCCAGCTCTAGTTTTGAGGCTTATGGCAAAAGTTGACAAGCAAATCAAAGCCTCTACCAAAGAGTGCCCTGCTAGCAAGCATACATTAACATGCATGCGCCCAGCATGTGTCCCTCACCCTGCCTGGATTCAAGAACGAGGTGCTCCAAGGTGACCACTGCAGAGGCCAATGGAAAGAGCCTTGCAAGCATGACGCGGAATGCCTTCTTCAATCCCTGCCCTCCACCATTTGGTCCCTCCTAACACCTGATCTTCCATTAGGAACATCCTGAAAGCCTTCAAGAAGGAAGATTCGGGCTCGTGAGCTGTGAGCCACCTACGATGTGTGGTCAAGCATTTTGCTGGCCGCTCATGTTCTATAGTTTTCGGGGTTGTTGCGGTTGAATGGCAAAAACGCCAAAAACCCAAGTTTAGCAAATTCAGTCTGGCTCGTGGACTACCACGTGCCTGTGGGAGTCATCGTAAAGGCTTAGCATGTGCTGCGCACGTGATGCTGGTCGATGCAATCGAGGGATAAAGGTCAATGAGCTTGCCACTGTAACATGGCCAATCATCTCGACCTTTCATGTGTTCCCAAGTCCGTCCCTGTACCAAAACCCCACTCCCATAAAACCCAGTGAAACAACCGGCCCTGATCAATTGACGTTGAACCTTTGCCAGGTGACCGCACGAAAGATGACAAGAAGACCTGCAATGTCCTGCGGAACTGCGCACGCTTCATCGGAAATGGGGCCGGGAACCCCATCTATCAGAGGTGCATTCGTTCATGCAAACCTCACCTCTAGATCGCAGTGGTGAAGCTCTCAAGCTGCATATTTCATGTGCATGCATTAGTAGCGTCTGGCATATTTTCTATATCTAAAAGGAAACCACAAGCACACAAAGTTGGATATTCTGATGAGCCATGGCACTGGAAGAAGAGGATGACTTCCTCTTAGATCTCCTGACCTATGTGTGCCCCGTTAGTGGCAAAAAACGCACTGCTGGCAACTTTGACGTGAACCTGCCACACCCAAAAGTCAAATGCCCGAGTCTTGTTTGAAAGCAGTTTGTGAGGAATGGCAAAGAAGCTTTACTGTCGATGTATATACCTTGAACCGTTTGGAAACCAAGGAAGGTTGCAATGACTTGGGAGGACGAGAACCTGTACCAAGACTACTTTGATCGCGGTCTAGAATGCGCCAACCCTCCTGCTCCAAGATCTTGCCAGGTGCCCATCGCAGGTGAACCTTGGTCCAAGCTGTATGTCCAACCAATGTGTGTTTCGCATCTATTGAAATGGGTGACCAAGGACAAGCATGATCTCCCTCAACTATTCCAGAGTCTTGGGGAGGCGTTCAGCTATGATAGCTTTGATTGGGGCAAAGCAAGCTCGAATGGATTGTTTAACAAATGCATGCCGTGTGACAAGAAACATTTGCCCATGGCTGGGAGGATTCTTTCTCATGCAAAAAAACAAGTAACAGCCCTCAGAGAAAAAATAGGGATCCGTATTTGCATCTTCAAAGTTGGTGTGACCAGCAATCCACCTGTTCGATTTGCCAACTACCTTGCAGAAGGCTTCACTACTATGTGGGTGGTTTCAAAGCATGAGTCTTTGAACCTAACACACATGCTGGAGGCAGCCTTAATTAGCGAATTCCACCAGCATGTGGGTTGCAGAAACCGTGCTGAATCAGGAGGGGATGGATCGATGCATCGGTTTCCCCCTCCATATTTCTGCTATGTTGTTGCTGGTCGCGCTGACCAGCCACGGTGGGTAGGATAACACGTGACCCCTAGGATGCCGGAGACAAAGTGGGTAAAAAGTGGTGTCTGTCTGTGTGCGTGCATGTTCTTTGCCATTGGGTTGCCATTGGAGTTTGCATGTTTCTTGTTTCTGCTGGCGCGCGGCCAAGGTCCCATGCTCCCATGTTGTTGAGATGGCGAAGGCGCAGGTGGAAAGCAATCCACACGCAAGCCCTGCGTTGAAAGAGTTTGCACGCATCCGGCCTGAAGATGCTGAGACGGCATGCCATGAGGTGTTGACCAAATATGGTTTTAGTGTGCCCATTCCAGTTGAGACTTTGAACATTGGACCTGGTCAATTGAAGGCCTGCCCTTTCGTTCGTCCTAGTGCATGGGCGACGTACTTACTCAACAAAGGCATTTTGCCGAGGCAGTTAGTGGGGGTGGCAGATCGTGCACAAATGGAGGAAACTTTGAGGGAACATTGGAAACGGTACCAGGTCCTCTTTCCAAACCATCCGATCTTCCGGCTAGCGCTGGAGGGGACTGTGCAGCTTCAGCGCTGCGTTCCAATTCTGTCGCATAGCGACGAAGGCAGATCGACGAAGCACCTACCGCTGTTCGTCATGAGTTTCCACGGAGCTTTGGGGCGGGGCACGCAGTTGTATGTGCAGAAGCAAAAGCATCTTGCACCGCTTCATCGACGACAATTTGGCCTCAATTTTCTTGGACAATCATGGGGAACACAATTTTTGTGCTTTGCCATTCTGAGAGAAATGGTTGATGATAACCCTGATGCTTTGAAAACGTTGATTCAACACTTTGCAAGGGACTTTCAGCAACTTGCAGAAGAAGGAATTGTGGGTGATGATGGGTACAGAGTCTGGCTGATCCACATATCGACGAAAGGTGATCTCCCTGCGCTCACCAAACTGTCGAACTCAGGCCGCTCATTTTGGCATGTTGCGAGGGCTGCGACATCCCGCAAGCCTTGTGATGGCATATGCCATTTGTGCAAAGCGGGTTCAGAGAAGCCTCCAACTCCGTATCCTTTCGAGGATTTTTCCCTGAGCCCCAAATGGGCCGCTACGCTATATGATATCCCCTGGGGTCAGTTGCCACCCATTTTGGAAGGAGTGCTAGTGCAACCTGGTTCTTTGCCCGCGTTCTTCAAAATAGACATCTGGCACACTTTTCATTTGGGCATAGCAAAACATTGGATTGCTTCTTCGTTCATCTCGTTGATTGAAAGACTGGACGATTTCCCAAGTCTTGACGGGGGGTCTGTGGATAGCAAGCTGGCCTGGATGGCCCAAGACTTTGCTAGTTTTTGCAAGCAGAACAGAATTTCACCTCATTCTAGGGAGATCTCCCGGCGTTCACTCTCCTTTCCTGCGAGTTCAGCCTGGCCAATAGCAACATGGAGCAAGGGTTCGATGGCAACACACCTGATGAAATATTTGGAGAATTTGTGTTCAAGATTTGTTGTGGGCAAAACGCAGGATGAGGTACTTTGTCGCATTGCCCCTCAGTGAATGCCAAGCTTACTTTTTGTCCTATAGAGTTGTGGAAGTCCTTCCTTTTTGTTGTGTGTTCTTTAGAAACTGAACATCATCGAATGCTTTGCTAATTTTTTGCTGTCAGGAAAGAGGGACCTACTTCATGAACACCGCCATCAGCTTCATGTACCGGTCAGGGTATTGGATCAGAGCTTCGTGTGGTCACAAGCTAGCGATGTGGCTTCTCTACTTTTTGCAATCTTATGGTACTTGCGCCAAAATCTGTTTGCGAGAAGGGAAGTGCCGCTTCAGCCTGATTCCGAAAACCCATTCCCTCCACCATGTGATTTGGGAACTTCAAGCCCAAGCAGAGAAAAATGTTTGGATTGAAAACCCTCTAGCGTTTTCAGTGCAAATGCAAGAGGACTACATCGGTCGTCCATCACGCCTATCAAGGCGTGTGTCCGCCAGACAAATGATTCGGCATGTTGTTGATAGATCTCTTGTATGTTCCATGCTCGCTTTAGAGGACACCAAAACGGATATGCGAGGACTTGTTTGAAGCAACCGCTATTTTCCATAGTCTACAGGCACATGGATAAAAAACAACCAAGGAATACACATGCTTTCAGCATATCCAGAGTGAAAGGCCTGCTCTCAAAGGGCACTAAGGCGCTGACCGATTCGCAGGATCTCTGGTCGCTTCTGCTAAAACAGGAGCCGTCACGGCAGCATGGGCTGCTTTGGCTTTGGGTGGGGGTGGATGGCTGGATTTGGATTCAGAAGCATTGTTTCTTTCACATCCCTGAGAAAACACCAAAACATGTGAAATGCATAAAAGGACGTAAAATATAGAAAGGTACGTAATTCTGTGAAAAGACCAATTTCTGAATCAAAATCTGGGTAGTACCTAAAACGGAGGGTCTTTGAGGACCCAGGTATATAATGTATGCCTCATCACCGGCCGCACACTGCGTCATGTACACCTGGCTCTTCGGATCGGATTGGCCGCTTTGTACCTTACCCCCCGTTGGGTGAGATATGAGGCCAACGCCGAGGTCATCAGAAACCGGTCACATGCGATGGAGAATATGGACTGGATGGATGTAGGCAGTGCTCCAAGTCTGCGACCTCTACCTTGTACAAGGTGTGGGTACATAGAATAATGTGAGTACCCCGCACCCTACCTCATGAAGTAAGGAATAGACTAGAACAAATTGGGAAAGTTCTTCACTGTTTCTTCCCACTTTGCTTGGCGCACCTAATGCGTAGGAACCGTTAGGAACCTAATGCGCCCCACAATGCGGTGTGCAGCCTTTTCCTCTTGAAATCGGCTCAGTTTCTGCTGGACGCCCAGCCATCAAGTGCGTTCAGTCCACAGAGGTCGCCGAAGTCCACATGTAAGCTCTCGGGATGAAGGGTCGGGAGTTCAAACGTGGACACACGAGTTCTTATCTTTCTAACTAAAGGACCTATATTCTAAATATTTTACATGTACATGTTTGGGATTGTTTGGGACATATTTGGGGGCGAGTCTATCTCATTACCAGGGCCCAGTGGATGATGATGGTTAGGTTGCTGACCTTTCTTACAAATAGTGATAATTGTTTTCCGACTGTTACAGGCAATAGGACAAACCTAAATTGTGAACTATAAATATACAATAACCCCGAGTGGGCCGCATGCAAAAACAAATGTGTAGGCGGCAAAAGCCTATGTCGAGTTTCTTTGACAGAAAGACATCAATAAGTTCCTAATTTATGGTGCCATAAATAAGGGGGCACAACATGCCACTCCCCACTCTCCTTGCCAAAGATTGACACATCGCCGGCGACATCTCGCTCCACAACGAAGCCTCAAAAATGAGATCCACACAACTACGACATAACGAAATTAAGAATGGTGAACATCCCTGAATAAAACGGCGTTTGAAGAAGGACCTGTGGCAGTGCCCCTGAGCCCAGGAAAGTGAGGACAGCCTTTCTGTGATAGAGTATGTATCCATTGGTCCAGTAGTGAACATGTCTTCACAAGACCTCCTGTGGTAGGTCAACAGCTGTGGCCGTGACTCTCGTCTTCAGCAAACGAGCTGCCAGCTGCACTCCTTTCTTCGGCCTTCTCAGCTCTTCCATCACTCGAACCGAGCTGCCAGTTGCACCGAGGCGCTGTCCGTTGCACCAAAAGATCCCAATTCATCAGGTGACCAGCTACCCGGATGTATCGAAAAGATGGTGATGCGGCACATGAAAACGGACCCCGGTCAGCGAGTTAGAGTGAGTAATTATTTCTCTTGTTCTTCCGTGGCACATGAAGAATAGATGGAACATCTGGTCTACTCAGCCCATCCAGCACCGAGATACTCACCCCGCACCCAGGACCGTGGTTTCTCGACAGCTTCGTCCATTCCACCTGAACGGTAAAGGCATGAATACCATGGGATCCAACAACCTTTCTCAGAAAATGCCTTCAAAAAGGGATATAGTTGGAGCCGTAGGGGATGCAGTTGGAGCCGTAGTGTCTGAAGGAATGCTATGATACAACCTCCAGCACCGTCTAAAATACAGAAAACTCTGTTCAATAGTACGTCGAAGATCGTCTGATGGAGTGCTAAATTTGTTGTTGAAAAATGGTATGACATGCTTGCTTCGTACATACGACATGGCTGGTGTAGACCTTGATTAAAAGCATTGAAAAAGCTACTTCAAACCAACTGACAAACTAGATTGTCAAATCCCCGTTTTAAGCATGATGACTGGCGTGTGCGAGGGCCTTCATGCCAAAAGGGACTGCAGCCAGTGAGTCTTGGTTTCCAAGCTCTGAATGCTGAACTTTGGCGCTAACCACACAGCGGCTGGCGGCGCAGTCAGCGAGAGGAGCCGCTAGGTGTTGGCGCATCAAAAGAGCTCGGCCGTGTTGCGTCACTTTCCGAAGTTTTGGTACAAGAACTTGGAAAAACACACTTGTCATCCATGTGTACAAACCTCAGAAAAGTTGGTAACCAAGATCTTCGATTCTGGCATATTACTGGAAATAGCATCCTTTTTACTGCCAACTTAACCAACAAACAAACATGTCAAGCGTGGCGCCAACAGTGGTTCCTAAGCGGGGCGCCACTGTCGTCGTTGAGCTCCAAAGAGTCTTCCGTGTCTGTCGTCGCTTATACTCTAACACTTCCATGCCTGCATGAGGAACCAAAACACGCGTGAACATTGAACATTACTAAAGAAAAAATCAGTTGCCTTCCTTACTACGGTGTATATATATATTACTTACTATGCTCCGTGGAAGTCTCAATGCTTCACAAAGCATCATCCTCAGCCAATTCACCTAGCAGTGACGTTCGAAACATGCGTGCGGCGGAAGACGCGGCCGCTCCATCAGCACGGTGCCCGCTCTGAGGGGTGATGAGAAAGGGAGCCCTAAAGGGGGCTCCAGGATGCTTGTGGTGGAACAGGGAACGTTCAAGCGGCCAAACCGGGCAGAACCATATTCCACTGAACAACAACCCCACATTTGCCACTCCGCATTCGTCGCATGATCTGTCACACGTGGCAAACATTTTCTGGGTCACCGCGGGGATCAAGGGCCGGAAGCCTGGGATTCTGAACAGGGTTCGGCCAGGCCTTCGGGTCGCAAAAGTATCGAGGCTCTTGTGGCTTTGGACAACTCCATTGGATGGCACCCTGCTCAAAGCTTGGGTCTGCCGTCCTCGACCCATTCATCGGCCAACCCCAATTCATCAGCACATCATGTGCCAGATCAGTCGCCGGCCTGCAGCCATGTTCCGCTTTGCATGAACAAGGAGTGAACCACCTTGGGTAGGCAACATTACATGGATCCTATAAAAAGGAATCTCTTGGCAACCAGGGAATTCTGTTTGTCAATCCTCGAATGGAGTTGATTCTGAAAGAAACAACTTGAAATGCACATCTTAACCCCTGGGCCCCTGTAGAACTAAGCACTCTTGTAAATACTCAACCAACAGCAACCAGCAGTTCCATCTCGAAATGGTTTTGAGTCCCATACAGTGAGTGGATGCTCTGGGCACCCCTCTCCTCCAAGTACGGCCTCAATCCATGGAATCATGGAACTGCTGGAAATTTATACGGGAGAAGACGATGATCTGCAATGATAGACTCACCCACCATGACTTCAACCAAGGTGTTGATCCGAAGACAGGTTGAATATTCCCTAGGGCTCCAACCAGATCCTCAGAAGGTGGTTAGACCCCCCCTGGCACCCACCTCAGTCCCACCTTCTGGGGATGGTTGGAGCCCTAGCAACTCAATCGAATTATCTTGGAACTGCTGGAGGGCTTGTTTGGGCTCCACCGCAACACCACGAGCTCGGATGGTCATGTCTTTCCCAAACACAGCAGTCGGTCGGCTCCACCACATGTGTCACTTCTTCTAAGCCCCGAGTTTCGCGGCGCAAATCTCTCCTGAAAGCCTCTCCAAACCCAGGCGTCATGACAACATGAAGCCCAGACGCCCAGAAAGCTCGTCCAACGGGTCACTCTTTGCACGAACTGGTCATACTACTTTCATCGATTCATCCGCGTCTTCTTTTTCAACCACCCCGTACCCAACCGTACCCACCTCTCCCGCCCCCGTACGCGCCCCCTCCATACGCGCAGGGCCTCACTGGACGTTTGCCAAGGCTTTGGCATAGACCTGCTGAAGCAACGCCTGGGCCACCTGAGGCGAGCTGTCCGGCCTTGACCTGTCCTTTGGAGCGACGAGGTGACGGGGTGGAAACCTGCAGGAGTGTGAGGTGGGTGGGTATGGGTGGGTATGGGTGGGTACTTTAAGGAGTGCATGTGAGTTTTTTCGTGGCTTTGGCGAGTTTTGGCGGTGGGGTACCACAGAAAAAGAGCACAAACATATCCCAAACACGAGCCTACACTTCACCGTGGATCTCAGCTAGTTATATAATGCTATATAGATCTATAGTCTCTCCATGCCTTTCCTTTCCAATTTCCTTAACTCCTGTGGAAGTGCCTATTAATCTATAAAGAGCTCGTTCTTCTGGGATGAATCGATCTCCCCAGTCCCTACTCCCAACTAACATGGCCCCTTGAAACACAATTTTCCTCAAGCAAGGGGGTGTCCATTTCCATGTGATTTCCAGGGCGAGTAACACCTCTTGAGTTCAGGGGTTGGTCAAACACTCTGGCGGCGCTCTTCATCCGCCTGTTCCCTTCGAAGAAAAAGACAAGTCAAACAGTCGGTCCCAGTCGACCGAAGAAACAAAGCTCAAAATGTTCAAAAGCGGACTGAGAGGTGAGGTGGGGAAATGTGGGAAATCGCAAAGAATTCCAAATGTTTCCTGCCTGAGTCTCATTCTTCTCCGCCGCACGCTGGTAGAGGTTGAACAGGTAGGTCTCACACGGGCACTCACCAAACCGTCTGGATCCGTCTGGTGCATTCTGAAACGTGGCACATCTTGCATCAAGTCTCAGTCGATTGAGTCGTTTGCTCCAATCAATCGTAGTCAGGTGCTTTCAAAACAAACACATAAGCCAAACCTCTCAAATCATTCTAGAAAAATCTTCAGCCACCCAAATTTGGTTTCTTAATGTTTCTTCCACCTTCCTATGAACAAAAGGTGCATGTGCGTGTGTGATTGTGTGTGTGTGCTGGAAATGGCCTCAAAAGAGTGTTTTGAGAGGATGGGTGCTTTGGTGTATGTTTGGGTCCTTGCTGATCCTTCCACAAAGGGGGCCCTGATCCCATTGTTGGATTCGATCCAGTCAGGATGGATTTGGGTCCTCCCTGGCTGCGCTGCTCGCCTGAGTGGGTGACTTCTTGACCACGCTCGGCACCACAACACCCTGGAAGCAGGGCGAAACAGGTACTGAGAGGCTCAAAATATCTCAAACTCTCAAACATGGAAGCACCGAAGCACCATCAAAAGGGTATGAACGTGGAGATCCACAGGCAATGTATCCCAAACACCCCACGTAAGGAATATATGCCTACATTGACCCATTGACCTCTTATTTCAACCACCCCAAAGTAGGTAAATATCGCAACACATGGATGGTCTGGGAATGTATCGTATTGCAGACTCCTTGGAAGGAGCTGGTCAAACATGCAAACTCGGCGGACTTCTTGTTTCTGGGCAGCTCAGCAGCTCAGCCACGGCCGAATCCCTTCAGCTCAGCGATGCGCCGGTCCTCGAAACGGGACGAAATCCTCTCCGTGGCTCGGATAGACCAAGCACCACCAGTGGTCAGTGGCACATCCGCTGCCCTCCAACAACCCGCCTCGGAAAAACTTAGGGTTTCCTGACTTCGGCGAAACGACCACCACGCCTGCACGGGCACCTCCACACCTGCACCGCCTGGCCGAACGGAGGCTCCGTTCGCCGTGGCATAGGCCCGATTCTCCCTGGCCCTAGGGCACCAACCATATTGTCAGGTGGTTAGACCCCTCCTGCACCCACCCCAACCACCGAACCTGGGGATGTGGGCCAGGAGCCCTAGAGTGGAATCATCATGGGCCGGAGAACACAAGGAGAGCACGATTGACTCGGAGGACCATGGAATGTCTGAAGACCAAACATGCCAAGCAAACTATATGCGCTATATAGTTCCAGTATATAGGACAAAATAAAACCGTGTAAAGCCATACAAAACCTGGTCCTGAATCAGTCCTGAAAACCTCAAATGAGATCAAACTGGATGTAGGAGGGAGGACGATGATCACATCTTGGCTGTATATAAACGTTTTGGAAACCCAACAAGGACAAAATACACGAGGTGCAATCATTCATCACCCCCCTTTAACAGGGGGGGGACGTGGGTCAGGGTCAGTTTCTTTTTCGACTGCTTAGGGCCTTAAAATGGTGGGAAACATTGGGAGGTAATGATGCCAAACCATGTGTAAAGTGCGAGCTTCAACGAATCTCCTAATTACATGGTTCCCTTTTTGAAGCGTACCTGGATTGAATGAATTCCTATGACTCTCTTTTTATCTTTTGTTTCTCCCTTTTTGTCTCTAGCTCACAGCGCCAATGATTGGCGGGGACTTCGTGTCCACGTTTTCGGAGAAAAACGTGCGCGGCGAGGACTTCCCTCCTGAAGGATTATGCAGGGGCTCCGGAGACGATTCAGCAGCTGCTATGCCATCTACGCCAAACCAGCCTCGCACATGCCAGGATGTCATGAAAGCAGCCATTGGAGCCAAATCATGCTTGGACGCCATGACTCCAGGCAGATTTCAGACATGTTTTCATAGGTTTTCTTTTATGAAAGGGAGTCCCACAGTGGAGTCTCTACCAAGGTCTGGGTTCTTGGTTATCTTACTTTTTCAAAATTGGCATTGGCCGCTGTTATCCACGATACTCCACGCTTAATCGACGCTAATAGAATAGAAGCAGATTCGCGCGCTTGAGGAATGCAATGTCTGCACCTATGGATTCCTTTATCGCTTTTGTCCGATCCAAAGAGGGCATTTTGAGCGCGGCGCAGTCAACAAGCCACCAGAAAATGAATTCTTTTTCGTTCGTCACAAATGAGTTGGCTCTTGCGAGACAGGCAGCCAGCTACAGCTCCTTGTCCAGTTCAGTGTGGGTGGATTTGGCCACATCAGAGCAGCTAGATACAGCTAGTAAGAGTTCGCATACAAATTGATTAGCTGAATGCCTGCAGCGCGACAGGCTTGCGCCAGGCCAGCCCAAGGTCATGCGCAAGCGACTTTCTAGTATATTATAGAGATGTTTGGGGGGTAAGTGTTTTTTGAATGGTTTTCCCCAAACAGTGTGTCCACACTTAGGGGTTCTTACGGTAAGGGTAAAGGCCGGGTTCGATTAGGGTACGCGCTCTGACCTGGGTTCATACCCTCGAATCATACCTCGAATCATACCCCCGAATCATACCCCCGAGTCATACCCCTCAAAACGTTACACGTAAGAACCAGGTGTTAAGGTGAAGTTTTTGGTTGGTCTTTGTGCCTTGTAGATGTCCATGAGCCAATGGTGCATGACGTTTGCAATTGTGTGATCCATGGGCACTCAATTTGGCCAAAATTGTTTGTGTCTTCTTGTGGGAAGAGCAAAGGCTCACATCCCAGGGGTACGAGCCAAAGGACCGCCTGCTCCAACAGCAGATCTTCTTTGTGCTTTTGCTCCTGAATCAGCTGCCAACTTGCTTGTCCCCCCACAACTTGCTCCCTGCTGCTCCCTTCTTCTCTCCCTGCTTGTCTCCTGTCTTGTTTTCCTTCTTGTCTCCCTGCTTGTCTCCCCGGAACTTGGTGGCTGTCACGATGATTTTCCTCTCTCTCTGTGCTTGCCTTCTTGTCTCCTTTCTTGATGCGTATGCCAGCTCCTGGCTGCTTGGAGTCGATGGTGGTTTATATAGCCACGGGAAAACAGGCCGACCCTGCCAAGGAAAGAATATGCAAAGTGTGCATTCTCTGAGCTGAATGCATTGTGCCCAAAGTCTGAAGCTGATGCTCCCAATGACTTTGAGAGGCTGAGGTGTTGCGCAAACTGCGCAAAAAGTTGCCACTCAAGCACGCGCCAAGTGCGCAAAGAGGTGCACAAAAGCGATCGCAGTTTGTAAAAAAAGCATGTGTACAAATCGTACGGGTTTTTACGCCACTACTTGCCGATATACGCCACTGTACGGGTGTCCAGGTGCGCCCTCAAAATAGCGCAAAACTGCGGAAAGTCAGTTCAAATCCGCCACTAAGCTGAACATGAATCAAAGTGGAACGTACTGTCCACTGCAACCCTTTGCCATGGAACTTGGCTAATGCATTGCACCGCTTCAGGAGACCAGCGCTCACTCTTGTTAAGCACGTAAGCCAAAACATCACCCATCTGAGCATCCGTCCACAAATCATTGAAGTAGATATCTGGTGTTTGGGCCATCTCGTCCAAAATGCGGGGCAAGGTCCAGAAGTCAGACTCCTAGAGGCGGTTGAAAAGTCGAGGTATATACATATATATATATATTATATATACTCTCTCTCACTCTCGCTATACATATATATATATATCTACAGGTGCAGGGTGACAAGCATACATTCTAAGAGCCCTATCCTGGGGTGGCATTTGTGGCCCATCGCGTAGAAAAACTGGATAGCTTCGTGCCAGCTGCAGGGCAAACCCACATGGATAGATCCTCAACAAGCGAGATGTAAAGAAAGTGAAATTGGTAGTCATCAAAACCTGTTGTGTGGCCAGAATTGACGCTCTCACTGTGGCTGCTCGTCAGCGCCGTAGTTGTTCCAAGGATCATTCGCTGGGTCATAATTTTGGGCATGGAGTGGTAGCAGGTGGCCTGAAGCGTCGTAGCGACCTCGTTGATGCTGCCCCACATCCTCAGGTTGCTTGGCAAGTGATTGAAGAGCGCATCGCATCTTCATTCTGTCTTCCACCTGGGCCATAATGTCATGGTTTTCGGATTCATGCTGGTCACCATGCTCCTCCCAGTTCTCAAAATCGTACTCTTCTTCATCTCCTTCAGTGCATGTCTGAAAAAAAATTCCAGCCTCCCTCCTTCCACCATGCAGTCAAGGACGCAAGGTGCTTGCTTGGATCATTGCAATCAGCGTCGATGACTGACTGAAACTGGCAGCTTGTTTTCAGCGCTGACAATGCCAACTCTCTGAGCAGCGAGGGGATGTATGTGGCATGTGTGTGTCCGTGCGTGTGTATGACTACCTAGCACTCTAGGGTTACTGACTACTTAGCAGAAACGAATTACGTGCAATAGTTAGGGAGCGGGACTTTAGTCTTAAACCGCCGGGGTAGAGTAGACTAGAAAAGGGACAACAGAGGGAAAGGCACCGACACACAAGTGTGTCGAACCATTTCCCTGTGTTACCCTAATTAGGTAGACAGTAGAACTCCCTGGGGGGGGGTGTTGGGAGACCTGCCTCCAGTATGTTGAATTCCGTTTTTTAGCCCGGCGGCTATGGTATCCGTGAAAGCCTGGCGGCTTTAGAATCCGACAATTCAGTAGTGAGACTAAGGCTGTTAAGGTGATTCACGAAGACGATGATTCAGTAACACGATTTCCGGCATGAAAACGGCGCATCCTTGCGGAGGATCACACCCAGCACCCAAGTGGGACGGCTGAGCGGTTCACACTCTGACATTGGTTTTCAGTTAGTTCAATTCCCAGGTCGAAAATGGTGAGGGAACGGCATGGTGAGAGAGTCAGTTCACTTGAAAGGTTGAACAATTGTTGTATTCAGCTGGCAAACTCTCGCGCGGCGGGCTGCAGCTCACGAGCGGCTGAAAATTGCGGTGAGAAACCTGTTTTGGGGGAGGAACACATGAAACACCATGAAACAAACCAAAGGAGTGGACAGCGTGTGCAAAAGTTCATTGAGCAGGTACATGAGAAAGCATCCTTTCTCGCTTCACAATCTCAAACCACCGTCTTCGTTGGGCAGTGGATGGAATGAGATTCACTGCCCCCCTGCGTGAACAATGGAAATTGTAAGGTGGAACCCTTGGAAACAGGGGTTGACAGACACACACACACACACTCTGACATTGGTTTGCAGTTAACTCAGTTCCCACGTTGAGAAGGAAGGTGAGGGAACAGAAAGGCGCATGGGTCAGCGAGAACAGTATAGTTTAACAAAAGTTTCCCTTTAGTGCAACTAGACCTTGACTCAAAAATGCAGAACGGAAAGGCGATGGAGTCCGGAAAATTGGAGATGTTTCAACATTGTTTTCATCTTGCATTAGCACTTTAGAGCTTGATTAAAAATTAAATTGGAAAGACGCAGGTACGTTTTCACCCAGGTGCGGGGCGTCTTCATTGGCCGGAGACCCCCCACGTGGCTCCGGCCCCCTGCTTGGAACCACTGTACATCGGAACCCGTGGGTGCAGGGGTTGACACACACACGGTGCCGCTTTGCGGCGCTCGTGCGAACGACCTGAATAGGCACCTAAAAAGCCTTAGAAACAAAAGAAAGAAACACAGAAAGAGCAGCACTAAGAGGGCAAGAGAGAAAGATAGGTGTAGAAAAAAGGTGAATACTTAGCCCTTGACTGGGGCAGGGAAACGAGCCTCAAGAACAACCTAAAAAGCCTGAGAGAAAGCCCAAGAAACGACCGAAAGCGTAAGAAAGAAAGGGGGGGGCAGGGGGTGTATGTAGCATGTGTGTGTCCGTGTGTGTGTATGACTACTTAGCACTCTAGAGTTACTGATTACTTAGCCGAGGCGAATTAAATGCAATAGTTAGGGAGCGGGACTTTAGTCTTAGACCGCCCGGGTAGAGAGGACTAGAACAGGAACAACAAAGGGAAAGGCACCGACACACAAGTGTGTCGAGTACCATTTCCCTGTGTTGCCCTAATTAGGTGGGGAGTAGAACTCGGCGGGGGGGGGAAGGGAAACATGCCTGACTGCAAGTGGAATTCCGCTTTTTGGCCCGGCGGCCGTGGTTATTCACCGTGAAAGCCCGGCGGCTCTTTGGTCAGCGAATTCAGTTATGGAAGTGGAACCAGGTGAGTCAGTGGAAAGATTCAGTTATAAAAGGGAGGGATGATTTCCGGCATGCAAACGGCGCCTCCTTGCGGAGGATCACACCCAGCACCCAAGTGGGACGGCTGAGCGGTTCACACTCTGACATTGGTTTGCAGTTAACTCAGTTCCCACGTTGAGAAGGAAGGTGAGGGAACAGAAAGGTGCATGGGTCAGCGAGAACAGTATAGTTTAACAAAAGTTTCCCTTTAGTGCAACTAGACCTTGACTCAAAAATGCAGAACGGAAAGGCGATGGAGTCCGGAATATAGTTTTCAAATTGGAGATGTTTCAAGCACTTTAGAGCTTGATTAAAAATTAAATTGGAAAGACGCAGGTACGTTTTCACCCAGGTGGGGGGCGTCTTCATTGGCCGGAGACCCCCCACCTGGCTCCGGGCCCCTGCTTGGAACCACTGTACATCGGAACCCTTAGGTACAGGGGTTGACACACACACACACACACACACACACACGCGTGTCTTCGCAAACGCATGATGTGTGCGCGCCTGCCGCACCCAGCTCGGCTTGGTCTGCTTGCTCTTCGGGCGCCAAGGGCTGCCCCAACTCCTCCCACGGGACAAACATCAGGTGGAGCTTAACAAAACATGCGGGTAACAAGAAGTTACTAGGGGCTCCTGGCATCGCTACTAGGAGCAAGGACGCTACTAGGGGCTCCTGGCCTCATTACTAGGAGCAAGTAGCTACTAGGAACAAAGGGCATAGCTACTAGGAACAAGAACGCTATGTAGGTCTGCACCGCACCGCGTCACAAATGAAGCCTCTTGGTGGTGGATGAGAAGGCTGTGTATGGTGAGAACCAAATCATGTATACTTAGTGAAAACTGGAAAAACACATATCATATTGAAGCTATCTGGAACTTACAACGTACTTCATTATAACATCAACAAACTAAACACAGTTATAACTTCAAATCGGACACATATAGACCCCTATGGCCGCCTATAGATGTTGATTTTTTGGAAATATATATCATGATCTTAAAGAATCTTAAAGAGACAATCTTGAGTTGCTGCTGCTGAAAATCTATTCCATGGTGGACCGTTTTGGATCGTCTTTGGGCTCTCTTGCCCATCTGCTCCATGCCCATCTGCTCGTCGAGAGGTCAATTGCTTTCAGATCACGACCGGTCCATCACATGAGCAGCGTACGTGAGGTAGTGTTCTCATCCATCCCATCTCATCCCATCTCATCTCATCCCATGGGTGAACACGGACTGGTCGTACACTTGATGGCAGCGTAAACTCACCATACAGAACTATGCCAAGTGACCAAGGAAGAGCTGTAAATCTGATGCAACGCTCTGTGGAGAGCTATTGCGTTCTTGATTGATCCCTTCAAGGCTACGTAGAACGACCCCAGATCGGGCACATTCACTGCCAAAATCCCGGGCGGACTTGCGTCTCGACGAGACTCGACCATCTTCACCCTGGAGCTCCCAGAGCTCTGAGAGGTTGGCATCTACAGCCTTACGACTCTTCTCCTTGCGACCTGCGCGATCGATCGGTTCCAAGCGACCATCAAATGGCCAAGCACCTGACATCGCGGCTAGCGACCACCAAGCAATTATGTTTGACTCTGCGATGTCAGGAAAGACCCACAGATCCGCTGGCAGCGAGCTCTTCATGAAGCACTTCAAATGCTAATGCGCGGAATGCCGTGTCGTCAGGCATTGAGTTCTGAAGCATCAAAGCATACGACTTCCTGCCAAGTCTCGCCAAGTACCTCGTTGGCTGTGCAATTTTGCGAATAGATGCGAATAGCAATGTTCACACTACCTTGCTAACCCAACCAAGCAAGCTGGCCCCGGCCTCCATGCGCCTACAGGTCTCGCGTCTGTACCGAAACACTGATTGAATTCAGACCGTCCGCCGCAGGAGCTGCGGCAGGTTCAGGGCCCATCTCTGTCAGGGGGGCTCGGACCATTTCTATCCAAGGTTGGGGGGTTCCATCTCAGTCAGGGCTGAGAACCCCCCCATCTCAGTCAGGGCGAGCCCATCTCAGTCAGGGCTCGCTCCATCCGCTTTGTTTCTTTCACTGAATGCTCGGCAGATCATGGCCGAAAACCCGCCTTTTCGTTCCTCTGGAGGGCGTCGTTGCCAGGAACAGGCGACTGACCCCACCCGTGTCGGCGGGACAAGGGACTATTTGGTGGTCCCATCACGAATTTTAGAGTCTTCTCATGTGAATATAACTATCCTAAATGATAGATCCCTCAGAACTCCCTCAAAAATCCGAAAAGACTCAGTGGTACAATCAACCCATGTTTGACTCTTCGCCGAATCCGTGAAAACATGTTTGTGGCAAAGGACATGCTCCAAGAAAGCTAGGAAGACCGGTTGCCCAGGAGAACTGAGAGCACGAGGCTACCAACTTGAAGAAGTCCACATTATACAGTATCAATGCATCTTCCACTGTTCTGTGAAACAAATCATCCCGCTTTCTTTGCGGTAACCACAACCACCTGGGCGTTATACAATGGAAACGACAGTTTCATCATATCTGAGTGTCACCCGAAAAGGCCAACCACATCTGACGGAACCCCATCCACATCTGACGCAACCGCCGACAGATCACGGGTGATCTGTCGGACCAAAAAAAGCGCCCGATCTGCCGGTCCCGCAAAGGACGCTCGCGAGCCGCGGAGGGCTTCTTAAAGCAAGACCTGCGAGGTGCAGACGGCGGACCGGACCTGGAGCAAGACCTGGGGGACGGCCACTGTGAGGTTGATGGCCTCCACCTAATAACGTCCTTTGTTCCTAGTCTAGTAGGCCCTTCTGTTCACGTTCGCTGGTCAACCAAGGTGGCCAGGGTTTCAAAGTGCGCCTGGACCTTTCATCTGGTGTCCAAAAGAGATTTATTCGTGCAGCCAGTCCAGCCAGCGTGTTGGTACGCCAAAAGGGGAAAGGTGTGGCCAGATGACCTGAACCATGTGTAATATTCGCAAAAACGATCATAAATCACCAATTCTAGTCTTTACTTCTCCTTCCTGAGGTTTTTCAGTGGACTAGTTCTTTTTTTGCACAAACTAACCTTGACCACTAGGGAATAGCAATGTCATTGGTATACTGAGGCCTCTTTTTGCAATGCACATAGCCTGATACAAGCTTCAACCATGGTGCTGTCCATTGTTCATCCCGTTGCACATTGTCTTCAAAACAACCCCAAAATGCCAGAGTAATGGAACTCATAATATCATTTGTCATTCAGCATTGGGACCAGCTGGGTGTGGGTCAAACTAGAAACTCGGGAAGAACGCTTTGAGGCAGTTTGAGGGATGTAGTGTGACTGGTGCGATTTGAGTAGGGTAGTAGAACTCCCCAGGCACACGTCGAAGTCAACTGGGCTCAGTTCAAAAGGGAAACCTCGTGTAACCATGTCGTTACAGAAGCAACAGGTTGGTGATATAATATATATCAAATAAACTGTGTCATATATAATATCAGTATAAACTTGGATCATAATATGTGTATCACATTCACTTAAATACGACCATAAGGACATAACTATATAGTTACTATAGAGATCTATAGAGGATATTGTGATCCAAAGCACTAACCCGGGTATCAATGAGTAAACCCTCTGTGCGGCGTGCGGATCCAAGGTAGCTCAAAACAAAGAATCGAAGACCTTCAACTACGTTTTTGTTTTCTGACCAACGCTCTGCTGAATTCCATCAAACCCATGCCTAGGAATCTTTACCCATTGTATACAGAAAACTTCGCACGGATGCAACATCATGGGTTCAAAGAGCCCAAATAGCGAAAAGCCAAACAGCAAATAGCGAAAACCAGGGCCGAAGCCTTGAAGCCATCAGCCGCTCAAGAAGACAAAGAGCAGGCGCCCATATCGCACTCCGCGCGGCATATCGCACTATAACCAAAAACCATCCATGTATGGAATAGCTATGTTATACATACAGCTATGTTTTTATAGCTTTTGTACGTTGTTATACATACATTGGGGTCATTTTCATGGGGTACATGTGTGTAACTGTTCCGTAGATGGATGGTCTGGGCAAGGTCGGGCTCTCCGACGACATTTCACCGAACTCCTCATATATAGATATCTGCAGCCGACCATAGATCGTACTGCTTTCCCAAGAACTTATACCGGCTGCTTTCCATCATCTGCGTCACATCGGAATCCTGCTCAATGAGGTGGATGGTTTGTTGGATGCGCATACAATCCACCATCCGCTGCCACCGCCCAGAACTTGCATTCAAGCCCTGACCTGCACACAATGAGCCATCTGACTGCTGAGAAGGTGGGACTGATGGGAGGGGGAGAGTCCAACCATTTTCGTTAGACACGGTCATCCGATGTCATCTACCATCCCTCGCCTGAAGATCAGGCCCAGCATACCAGCCAACAAACTCAAGCTGAGACCCAATACCTCAGAGGCGGACCAGCACACTCAGGGGGAGCGATGTGTTGGAGTAGCTCATGAACAAGCTGATCCCCCGCCAAAGTCGTCTTTCCGCAAATCGAGCCGTTGTTTCATCGAAATTTGCCACAACTCGTCAGTCCTTGGGAACGGAAGTTGTTTTCTGATTGTTGCCCCAAAAAAAACGCCAGAATCAATGCAATTAAACCTGTGGTTCGTTCTACGTACTTCATAGGGAGGTCTCCGAGGTTGCATGTCCATGTCTATAGGTGAGATTCAATGAGTATCTAACAACAACATCCAACTCGGGGGTCTATGTACATACTTCTCGTGTACATGTTGCGCTTTTGCTGTCACCGTAACCCCTGGCCGCTCACATGCGGCCCAGGCAAAACAACCAACAAAGCTGCCGGTCCGGACGAGTCTCGTCCTGAAGGTATCCAGGACGAAGATCACATATATTAACACAATTTAACACACGTTGGAACAGTCCTATAAACTTTATGTCCCTCATTTCAGGATCATGCACTGGGTGAAACGTTTGTACTAGCTTAACGCCTGGACCCATAATTTGTGGTTCTTAACATTTCTGAGCACATGAGAACTTGACTGCAAACGATTTCAGGACGTTTCAGGTCATCCCAAATCAAGGCCAGTCGTTGTCACACCCACGTCGAACCGAACCAACCAGGAGCCCCACCAAGGAGGCCAAGACGGTCTCCAAGAACATCGAAGACTGATGCACTGCCTGAAGGACAGGGGGAGTCACGTGGCCACATGGGGAGTGGCGACCATCCAACGACGCACAAGAGCAAATTCGAAGTACTAACCCTTGCAGGCCTGCTGGTGAAGACTACATGTCAAAAACTGAGTCTTTTCCGATCAAAACAGTTCGGTCATGTCTGGGTTCTGAACCCGAACGTTCCACCTGTTCGGCCATTGAGTGGGATGTTCCCTATATCGGCACCCTTTGATCCACGTACTTCCTGGGCGCCTCGGGCATGGGCGCCATGACTTGGGGATCCACCTGCAGCTCCTGCAAGGTGGCACCAAATCAGTGGAAGCAGCATGCAACTATAATTATTATAAAGTATAATCAATATAGATAAGTATAATGTACAATTATATGAAGTAAATTATATCAACCAACTGTACTTGTTCCTAATGTACACCCTATAGAAGCCCAGTTCGACTATATATTTGGCACCATCAACGCAAAGGCTTTAAGGACATGCCTCTTGGGGTCGCCCAATGACCATTTTTGAAGCAGTCGACTGGACTTCCAGGGTACCTTATGTGTAGGAATCAAGTATTGTAGCATGCATGATTCTGACATGACTGCAAATGGACCGCAAACTGTGCTCAAGTATTTTCTACGTCCTTGGAGACTTCAAAGGCCAACAAAAAGACACAACAATTTGGAACAACTGAACAACGCATTGACCAGCAGTTATCACTAGCACAAATGTCCAGGAAGGAATTGATTGTGAACGCACGAACAAGTTTGCTTGATGTCATTTCTGCCCGTGTTGGCTCTCTAGTTGTTTTGCACAAACATGAAAACAATATAGAACAATATTGTTTCGATTGTTTGTTGGATTCTCTTAGATCAACTTCAGCTTTCAGGTTCTGCCTTCCGAGTGTGCGTTCCCTTTGCATGGCTTGTGGAACACTCCTTGCAGGTTTCATGGCAAACAAAACAAAGTCGGACATCCAAAAGGCGCAGAACCTCGAAACGAGTACAGTAGGATGTGTTCATCTACTGGAAAACCGGTCACCGTCCCCCCTCCTCTCATGTTCCGTCATGCTCTGTTTGTTCAACCCCTGGTCATTCCCTTGCAGATCCTTCCCTCTGAGGATCCAAAAGTGGACATGTATTGCCAGGTGGGCGTACAATAGACGCTTGACCAAGAAAACCCATCATTTGGCATTTTGATTGAAACACCCTCTTCATATGGAGGCTCTATTCACCAAGAGTCTACATACATTCATAACATGAACAGACTCTTAAGAGCAACATGGACCTCCAAACGACCTCCACTCACCTCTCAGACCTCTGAGACCTGTCACGTCCGACCTGTTCTTCGCATTGTGCCTCGCTGTTCTGGTTGGCCGGGCGGATGAAGATCACATGTGGTGCCAGGAACTGAGGCCTCGCAGGGTCGTCTCGAGCTGATCGTCGCGTCGGGGACGCCGAGCTGGCGTGCCTCGAGATCGCAAGCAAGCGGTTTTTGTCGCGGCTCCAATTAAGAGTTCTTCGTGGTGAGATGAAGCAAACAGTGAAATGGGGGCTCTGGATGCTTCTGGTGAATCTGGGCATATCTGGTGGTCAGACTTGATCCATGCCTCCCAAACAAATGTGAGGTGTCCATCCCAACATTTTTGTCTATCCACCTTGCCACATTTCTGGGATCTCATCGCACCATGGGTGTGGAACCTGACCAAGGCATCACACCATGTACCATACATGATCATACATAGACCCTGGAAAGCGCCCTATACTATAGGCATATATATGCATATATTATGCCATACATGGAATCTCCTGGGACTATATAGTAGGTACATCTACCGGCTTCTTTTCAGGTCCCAATTCTGCCAGAAGTTGGCCATGCCTCAATTCTGCCAGATCGAACCCACCTCTCCAAGCCAGCAGTTCTATGGCAAACAAAAGTGAAAGTGACAGGGTTGCCCTCTGCCTCCAAATAATATAGGCCCTATAGGCTTGGCCTCCACTGCTGGGGACCTTTTCACCTCTTCCGCGCTTGGCGACCGCCCGGCTTCCAGGCCTTGCTGGCATCGCTGCGTGCATGCGAGCGTGCATCTGCATCATGTGGTGACGCATCTTGTGAAAGCCTGGGGGACCGAGGAGGCCGGAGTCCCAGTCAAACGAACGGGCGGCCAGTCTGACAAAACATGGTTCAAATCATCCCTACAAAGCCAGTCTGACCCACTAAAACCTGTTCTTTGACCTCCTTGAGTACTGTTTTTGTATGACCAACTCCAGTAAAATGATGTAATTAACCTGTAGGGATATGATTTAACGATTAACCCTCTCAAAGCTGGTGAGTTTGGGCTCAGCCACCGGAAAGGTAACAATTTTCTCGCCAAATGTCCGTGCTTATCAATAGCACAAACCGACCAGCTTCGTCGACCATTCATGAAAAAAAACGTTGATGTTGATTTGTTTGCTTTTTCGTTGGAGGTCCGATAGGGATCACTCAGATCCAGGTGTGAAAAACAGAACAATAATTATATATACACAAGAAGTGCAGCTGTACAATAGCTGTCATAAAGGCTACAGTACCCCTCAATTGTCTAGGTTGTCTTTTCAACTTTCAATGGTTCCGAACGACTTCAGTGGAGGGATTCGGGAAAGATGTTCTGAGTTCTGATGTGATCACAGGGATCGCTGCATTCGCCTCCCTATTGGGTTCCTTGATTCCCTGCGGTCAGGCTTTCCCTCCATCCCACTTGCAAGGCCCAGGGTGTCATCTTCGTTCTCACTGAATATATCTTCGAGAATAGCGCTGGTATGCGCTGGTTGTCTGTGAGACCAACAAACGGTATCAGGACATATCAGGACCACAGGACCGCGGGCGCGGCGTTCGGCCGCATCTTGACACAGCTTTCTGGCTTTCTGAAGCATCCTGACATAGGAGCGTGCGCTCCAATGAATGCGCTCACTTAGAAGCTTGGGTGAGCATTGTTGATGGTTGGTCTTGGAATGTTTTTGGGGGTTCCTTAGCTGGACGTGAGCGTCCTTGCTGGTTTCTGCTGGTCCTACACGAGCCTGGGAGCCGCGCAGTTTGTGGTCCAGAAGCCTCTTCTTGCCAGGTCCAAGTGCGTTCAAAAGGGGTCCTTCTGGTCCTTCTGGGACCCCCAAGCAGCCCATCATGGAGTGCATCTTCTCGTGCATGGGCATGCGAAGTCCTCACGGAACGACGGAGGCTAAGGCCCTTGAGAAGGACGGAACTCGTCATCAAAAGCCGATGTTCATTGGAGCTCTTTGGCATAACGTTTGTTCACTGTTGTAACATATCACGGAAGTACAGTAAGTGTCATCGCAAAAACTGTTGGCTGTCAGTACTTGTACAGTAAGTGTCGAAACATTGAGAGATCTTTTATCTATCACAGTTTGGTGGACTCTACAGCTGATGTACTGCAGTGCTGCTCTAGTTGGAGTTCCACTGTTCCTTTGCTATGTCAAGTGGTGTCACTGCTTTCTTCGTTCAACCAGGATCACCGCGACTGGACAAGTGCTCTGCCAGCAAGACTTTTCCTAATGCGCTTGTTGTAGAACACGTGCCCTTTGATCTAAGATGGGCTAGTGTCACTCTTTGTTTTAGTAGGCATTGAATGGCATTGAATGCTGTATCGAAAGCGGAGTCGGGTCAGGCCGGTCCTCCACCCTGTGGCATCGTGGCAAAGAGCCCAGAAGGGAACTCGGCTCAATTCGACGTCGGGCGGCCGGAAGGTCCGAGGACCTTCCGACGCCAGCAGCGTCGGTTTGGTTCAGAGGCAGTGGGGGGCTCACTTGGAGAGCGGAGGTTTGCTTTTTGAACCCGAGCAGGTTGCTGTTTGTGGGGTTGTCACCGGGACTGAAGTATTGTTCATGCCCACATCTACTGGTCAAGGACGGATATATTATATAAATGGACCAAAGCTGAAGCTGGGGACTGTGCAAACTCCTTTTACATCTTTTACAAGCAAAACAGAACGATTGGAGCTGGCCAAGCACCGAACAGTACCGAAGTACTGTAACTCCTCGGTTCCTTTCATGAACTCAGAAAGCCTCTCTCACAACCTTTTGCGGTGATTGGGGGTGAAAGCCCAACGCTTGAGACGCAAATGAGTTCACAAACCATGAAACTGATGAATCTTGTTGGCATTGAGGGCTGTGCCGGCTAACATGATTTTCTTCGAACAAAACTGGCTTTGAGAGAAGGAACCACCTCGGTCGCACGCAGTAACCAAATCGATGGATTCTCCCCACAGGTGTCCAGCTTTCAGGTTGCCCCAACCCAACCCCAACTCTCTAAAACAAGATCCCGTCCCAGGTGCAATGGAGGCCATCAAAGGACCGGCAAAGATGTGGCCTTGGCACAGTTGGATATGGTTACACGATTTGTTGTACCCCAAAAGTGTGGCTTGGGTGTCAATCCCAACAAGCAACTAACAAGTCCACAAAAAAATGTAAAAAAAACTGTTCATGTTGAAACGATCTGTGGGCTTTGGAACTAATTTTCAATATTCAAATACTACTTAACGATGGTACGTGCCACTACATCCCTCACTTCACTGCATGCCGATACGGAAGTGTTGTTTAAACACAAAAAACAATGCTCCAGCAGCCACACAACGGTGGTTTTGAGTCTAGTGAGTGGATGTACTGGGAGAGCCCCCTGGAAGACGGTTGATTGGGGTTGGGGGTCTCCCTACGCGATCACCCGAATGGTGGGACAAGGAGAGGCCCTCAAATAGTCAAAAACAACTAGCAACACTCCGAAATAAAATATACCAGGGGTCACAAAGGGGTGGTGTTTGGTCCCTAAGTGAGTGGATAATGGGCACCCCTAGCCTCCAATAGGCACCCCTTTGTGACTCCCGGTACTCTATTTGGGGAGTCACTCTTGGAGTCCTATGGAGTCATGTTTCAGAATTAGTCATGAAGTCGTGCCCTCAATTACATAAGTCTCAACAGGAGCAAGCGAGTCTAATTAAGCCCGAGTTGTCCTGAGATGGAATAGCTCCAAGTACTTGGTGATGCTATCATTCGGCGATAAAATCGGTTCCTCCCCACCCCGCTATTCCTCAAAAGCCGTGGCGGCAAGAAGCCTAGGTTTTCCATCAGAGCCCTTGGAGTCTCTTACCATTGTCAGGTGTCAGTCTGCCTCCCTTCTTCATTGGATCTTCATCGATTTTTCTCAAAAGACACCTGTCGGGGGGAACGGGCAAATCGATGCTTTAAAGTAAGCGGGGGTCACGAGAAGTGTGACGCCAAAGCGAGGTCGGTCCACGTCGAGTCGAGCCCCACGTCGAAGGGTGTTTTCTGGGACTCCCGAACGGACTGATTTGGAACATTGGCCGTCCTTGCATTCCACCTCTGCAATCCTGGTCGTCTGGATGAGTACAGATTGGGCTTGGTACAGATTGAGGAACAGTTCATGGGACAAAACTCACCCAATTCCTGGACAATTGAGGCCAATGACTAGGTTTGGACACACGGAATCATTGGAAAGAAACTTGGAGGCAAATGTTGCTGCCTCGACTGATTTGGGTTCCTTCCTCTGTGGGCTGGAGATGTGAAAAACATGATCCCATGCAAGAAAAGATCAACTCCGTTTTGTTCCAAAGGAACAAACAGTACCTGTGTATATCATTGTATATCTGTGTAGTATTTACTTTTTTCGGACTTCTCAAGCATTCCACGATAGGTAACGCATCGTGACCCTATGTGACCCTTACAAAAACAGAATTAACACGCAGAACCCCTGGGTGCTTCCACAGTGGTCACATGTGGTCGACTGGGTGACTGAACCTCTGCCCAATGGTTCTTCCGCCCTCTGCCCACGTCGGTCCCAACCAACGGAAAGCTGGATATGTTGTGTTGCACCGCAAAGCACCACGACTTGGTACTCTGCAGTCGTTGGTGCTTGGGTGCTTGGTTTATGAATGTTTTGCCTTCATGGATTCCTTGCTCGCTGGAGTGACGAAAAGTGATCAAGATCGGTCGGACATGTTGAAACGATCTTGGGGACCTGTATGGCCCTGCGAACTAAGGTCACTAAGTTTTTTGTTGTTTGTTTGCTGGTTCCACAAGCGAATTTTCACGGCAGCTCGGTTCGGTTCGCCATCGCCTTTTCTCCATGCCGTTGTTGGACATCTGAGTCATCACCTGCCAGGGTCGCTGGATGTGAAACCCAAAAGAAGCGGGCGAATCCATCGACTTGACTCAGCCAATACTGATGACACCATGACTTGTCAATGTGAGCAAGAAACGCATGACTGCATTACACCCTGAGTTCTTGGCACAAACCTCTCAACCTTCGTGGGAAAAAGTGTGCCAGAAGTGCCAAAGCTCAAAGTGTCTATGGCATGAAAATGGCAAAACAGGTGCATTTGTTGCTCCATGTATTGTGCCCGAAGCTCGCTTCCAAAGGTTCACTTGTAGATCATCTTGCAACTGTCTGCTTTGTTCAGCCCTCCATTGACTGAATGAAACATCATATCTTAGAAGCGCCTTGTGCATGGTGGTGTGCATCATGCCATCTGCACCCAACGCCTCAGTGGCTTTGCGTGACGCAGAATGGAGCAACGCCTAACGCATGGAAGAGATGGGACCTAACAAAACACCACCCCATTGCTCCCCCACAATGGAAAACTGTCAGAGACCACATCCAACTGCAATCACAGTAGCACAGGATGACCGTGCCTTTACCCAATAGTACACTTTGGTTGGGCAAATGGTTCCTCTATGTTCCTCTATGTTCCTGACGTGGGTGAAGAGACCTCGGGGAGCACTGCAAGGAGTAAAACAGCAACAACAGTTGTGAAGCAAACCATGAACAGCAAGGAACCCAACGAACCCATCGCGGTCAGTAATCTGGTGAACAGGGGCGTTGATTCTGGTGACCCACTTCTTCGTGATTTTTGGAGCACAAAGGGTTCAACTTCTATGAGTGTTCATCCCAGTGCCCAGTCTGCCGGAAAGCACCCCCCGTCATCGAACGCACTGATGAGCCGTCGGGTGATTCACCTGACCACGCCAGGGTGCCACCTCAATTCAGAGACCACAAAGCTAGGGAACAACCACCTTCTTCACGCCAGTGGAGTGCGGTGGGTACTTCAAATCCTTCCAAATCCTTCAATTACCACGTGCCAACTTCTTTCTGTACCTCGTACGGTTGGCTCAAGGACATATTATGTTAACACTTTTGGCTATTTGCCTCCCTCACCCATGGGTACTTCAATCCCTTCTAAGTCCTTCAAAATCCGTCCTTCACAAATAGGATCTTCGTCTGTCCACGGGTCCGTCACATCGAGTGGCACAGCATGCAGCCCGGTCCACCCTTTTCGAAGACATGTCTTCGAAGACATGTCTTCGTCCATGCTGGGAGAATGGCCAATGGAATGGCCTATATAGAATGGCCAATAGATCTGAATGGTGTTAGTCGTGGAATGAAGGCAATACAAATGAAACCTCTTTGGAAGAATTCATGGAATTTGTGAGGATTTGTTGGTTGGCACCAGCGGCAAACGCTTCATTCCTTGCGGAGCAATGAACGGACGCTTTTGGGGCTTGTAACCACATACGCCGAGAAGACTCAATTCAATGCATCCAAGATCATCCAAGAATTACACAGTGTCCATATATATAAACCTGATGAGTTCAAGCAAGGGAAGATCAAACCCCTCCTTGGACGAATCACTGTGGTCCCGGTCCATGCCCGTCTTCCCCAAGTCACAAGCCGTCTTCTCCCCAAGCAGCGCCCGCACCCCTTCGACAAAACACTCCTTCGGTGCCAAAACACCGACACAGAGCTCACGGACACGTGATTCGGAAGCCTCGGTTTCGTGCTTCGGCGCTCGTTTTCTGGGACAAGCGACCGGAGCTCGGTTTCTGCTTGGCCCGCAACACGACTCACCAGTCAGTTGGTATCAAAGAGACCCAGATGGGCTACCGTCCCACATCCTCAGAAAGTACAGCCGGGAGCTCAAGTCGCATCAAGTTTTGGGGGATGTAGCCATTTCGACACTGGAGAAGTCCTTGTGATGGGGTCACATTACGGTACATCACCACCACATTTGCAGTGCGGGAAGTGTCAAAAGATGTGTAGCACAAACGTGTTGTTGAGTGTGATCCCTGGATGGATTGTAAACATCTTGTGTGAACCTCTCCTTTGTCGGAGGTTGATCGGAAGCACGAGACACCTCTTGGATCGGAGGTGACCTCTTGGCGTCGGTATCCAACCTTGCAGATCTGCATGACCTCGCCATTTCCTCATTCGACCAAGAGGAGGTGGAGTCAAAACCCGACGAACTTTTGGACCATGCCGGTACCCCAAGTGACGGGTCCTACAAGGGCACTTGACCTCTCTTGGTGTCTGGAAAGCTTGACGCCCTCAGGTCGGCTTTTCACGCCGAAGCAGCTGCCCTTCGAGACTGCGAGCCGCGCCGCAGGGCAGTCTTGCACGTGCTAAGTGCTAAGCGGTGAATTGGTGCCAAGTCTGGTTGGACTTGGTACTTTCTTCAAAAAGGTCCCCTGTCCAAGCAACTGGGAGATCTTCTGCCTGAGATTTAGGCTGCTGGGATGCCAGCATTTGTTGGTGAACTTCAAACAGCTTGGCATCGAAGTTCGCATTCCTTTCGCCACAATTCGTGCAGTATTGTTCTCTCACTTCGTTTTCGCGTCCCGCGTCCCGGAAGCGCCGGGATGATACCAAGATGCCTTGCGCCGGGAAGATAAGGGGAAGACACTCTGTGCGCTTCTGTGGCGTGTGCAGAAGACCGCAAGAAGCAAAGAGCAACAAAGTTCCAACTGTTAAGGAAACAGTGGACTCATTATTCCTATGCATTCGAACTGTTCTGCTCATGTCCGCAGTTCAGAAAATAGACCAAGGTTTCCAAATCACAAGCAGACTGCAAAAAGCGATGCGACCTCCCTAACATCCGTTCCCCACTGGTAGGGCCTCATTTTACAAAAAAAACAAACACAAACGTTGCGACTTCACCACTTGACTGGGGGTAGACCCACAAACCCACCCCAACCACCGGCCCAACCACCTTCGAATCGGAGGTAGTTGGAGCCCTAGGAAGAGGATCCTAAGGTCTCCCCACCCGGGATCCTGAGATCTCCCCACTCCCCACACTTTTGGGTCAGGGAGTTGCCAGAGTTGTCAGCACCTACACCCACATAATCCAATTATGTACTGTGTATTGTGGAACACATACAAGTTACATTGATCCTGAAACACCCTTTCAACAACCCCAACAGCCTGGATATTTAAAGACATCCATTCATGAAATGGCACATGAATGGCATGTTCGACCCTCCGACCCTCGGGGTGTGGCTGGACTACCCCACACTACCTATAGGTTTCCAGACAGGGCACCCCTTAGAGGGTCCTGGTTTATTATGATCTTTTTTCTTTAAAGCCAAACCGAGGCATGACTCGTCGAGTGCTTCTCTTCCGACTCCTCGCAGTCGGTCCAACCGGTTTAGAGCGGGAGCAAGAGGGCAAGCTTGGTTCAGGAAAGCGTGGGTGTTGCTTGCCACAAAGAAGATCAGGAAATCACACAACCCTACACACACAAATAGTCTTGCAATACGTGACCTGTCAGAAAACATCCATTCCAAACAGATCCTATAGGCATCCTCCGCCTCTACAAAAAGCATCCATGACAAACAACAAATAAATACCAGGAGTCACAAAGGGGTGCCTATTGGAGGCTATGGGGTGCCCATTATCCACTCACTTAGGGACCAAACACCACCCCTTTGTGACCCCTGGTATTAGCACATAACAGCACTGCCAATGAGGGGAACACTGAGTTCTACCCAAACCGCATCATTTCCGGGAAAGTCTCCCTCACACACACAATTCAGAACTCCAGAGTTGACCATGCAAGACCAAGCTCGCTGAAGGTGACTGGTGGTGACTGGTACAACTACATTACCAGCCTGGTTCCCTGCCCCAAAAAGGGCTCTATATATAGACCACTGGAACTGGGTGCTGTAACTCTTGCGTCAATTACCCAGGCTTTGTTGAATGGTCTTGCTGAAGTTACTGAGTTACTGACTCAAAGTGTGCCCCAGGCATTTTTACTTACCATATGATTTCAGAAAATTCACCAAGCCTTCACGAACACCTTCACCAAGCCAACGTTGCATGCCGATGACATGCTGGCATCCCTGGAGGACAACAACGGTCATGCAAAGTCAGACCTGCTGGCGAACGCTCCAAGGCTTTGTAGCTGCTCTTTCATCGGCTGAGCATTGCATGCAGATTTTCAGGGCGTTTGACGTCGGAGGATGTGCCAGGCTCTGTTTTCATTCGACGGAACATTTGCTGCAGCGGCCTGAATCATTCGACGAACATACATGCAATGAGATGCCCTCATGCATGGACGCCATCGAACGCTCCTGCAATTCAGCTGGTTTGGGTGGCACATCAGTACTTCAGAACGAGGATTGACACATCCATGGGGCACGTCTCAACTCGGACGTGCCATTCCATTCCAGGCTCCCCGGCATGTCTTGCGCATGCCTCAGGCCAGTCTCAAAGCTATCATCAAAAGTGGGAGATGGTGTTTCAACAGTGAAGGAGAAACCTGTGGCTAGTCTGACCACAGCCACTTTCTATTCACCAAGTCACTTGCTGATTTCTTGTGTTTCAACATGTAGGTTCGAGTGAAGCTGCCACACCCGACAAGAACAAGTCGATTCTGAGACAAATCAGCAAATGAACAGGTGATGTGTTGCAGACACAGATTTCAACTGTCAAACATGCCAGCTTCTTCAAAGTCAACAACGCAATACTTCTTTGGGGGTTTGTCACACAGGCCAATAAGACCGAACCTAGTATCAAGTTTGGTCACCTAACTGAAGAAGCATAAATGTATGCAGTAAGTCCTGAAGAATAAGAAGCAAAAACATGCAAAAACTGGTCAAGTCATGTTTTCGGATATTCTCTCTCTATATTATATTGATATTAAATAGTGATCGCAAAATAGATAGACTATGTATGAATAAGTACATGTTTAGTGGGGATCTACTGTTCAATCTATTTGGGGGTCTATATGCTGGTTGTGGAGTGGAGATGACTGGAGCTCGGAATTGGTTCAGGGATCTGTTGTATCCTTTTAGTATCTTTTAGTGCGTATACGGTATATATAAGATATATACCGTACACGCACTAACAAAAACTAGAATAAGGATACCACCCCGGCCTCCAACAACGAATGATGAATGGACCTAAGGAAGACCGTTGTCCTCAAATGAGGTCAGTTCCTCTTCCACGATTCTTGGAGGACATGTAGCTTTTTGTGTTCAATTGCCATACATGTTTCTAGATAAACGATGCTCAATCTGCCGCCCTTCTCTTCCGGACTGGAGTGCACCAATACCAACGCTGAAGGCATCCGAGCTACGTGGTTGCTGAAAGCAATAAAAGCACCTCGAGCGGCGCTACGAGAGCACTGCCGTGTCCGGTGCCACCCACGGGCCTGAAGGGGTCTTCGGGTGTTGGTGTGTAGGATGCATCGAGCTGGTGTCACCCAGTCAGAAGGATTCCCTGGTTCGAAAGTGCCAGGAGCAACAAAAAAAACGCCACAAACTCACACCCCCCAAACGAAAACGCGCCCAAAAAGAAAGACCACCTGGGACGCAAGGCTAAGGTCTCGGCACATCATCAGGCTGCCAGGTTTGGGGCCACAAACCCCTTGGAGAGCTCACTACTCTGTACTCTGTACCGTCTAGCCATTCAATGATGTACTACCCCCCCACAGGCTCCATGGATACTTTGGATTCCGGTTTCCAACAGTGCGTGGAATAGAAGATCCAGGAAATAAGAAATCCTTGCTAGTTCTCTTTTCATCCAATCTAAACAGGATGGGAGCCTCTGTCTTATCCTGATTTCAGCAGCCAAGAGAGTGTATCCCGCAACTGCTCGCGACTACATTGACCATCGCTGGTCTTGTGGCTTGCACTTGATCGCACATGATACATGTATCGGAAAGCAACACTTTCAAACAGTTCCAAGTTCCGGTGGTGTTTGCAACAATGGGATGGATGAACATGCGCATAATTACCATAAATAGGATAAATAAGTCCTTAACAAACGTACGCTCAATCACCAGCTGGTCACCAGCTTCCAAGACAAAGGGATCATGCCATCATACAACGAAACCTAGATGCATTTTCCAGGCACCACCCTGCCTGATTGAGGTATCAAACTCTTCGCAGTCTCCCCGTCCACCTTCTTGCTTCCCGGATTGCGTCTACGTGTCCTTCTCGCCTTCCAAGTCGACGTCATCGTTGGCCTGCCGGGTCGACCGGCACGTGGGTCGACCGTCCCAGTCGTTCTGACCGGCGGAGCCTGTGGTGAGAAAGCGCTGTCCCGTCTGCTCCACCATCAAACACACAACAAGTCTTCCTTGCGACACTAGTTGGAATACATTAGCTATTTCTTGAAACCATAGATAGACTTTAAAGGCAAACATTAATCTTAAAGGCAACGGGTGGAAACGGGCCTTGGCATGGTCCAACGAAACAGGAACCAAAAGGAACCTCCGATCGCCCTAATGGTGGGTCTGAACCAGCTATGTCCGCCAATGTCCTCCAAATGCGCTCGGAAAAGACTTGTTCCCTGTTTGGGCTCCTGCCCCACATCCTCAGAAGGCAGTTAGACTGTTAGACTCCCCAACATCCCCAACCTTCTCAGCAGGTAGTTGGAGCATGATGGGGCCCCAAATACGTTGGAGGCCCTGTTTTCAGGGAGAAGGACAGTGGTAGTACCCGGCAAAACGAGTCAATGGTCCACGCCACGTGGCGCAGGATTTCTCCAACAGTAGGGCTCCCTGCATGCAAGAAGAAACAACATAATCACTCCCATTGCCTTCAGACCCAAAGTATAGCCAAGACTCCTATACCTTTGCGATGGTTAGGTGAGTGGTAACAGGACGCACAAGGGACCACCCAAGATATATACAGTAAGTAGAACAATCAGAATCAGAATCAATAGAACTCAATAGACATGTTCAATAACAGGTTAACAACTCCTGTGGTTTTCTCCCTTTATCAACGATATTCCACGATTCCTTGCCACTGAGGGATGTGAACATCGAATAACATTTCCTGACTACTCGAAGGCCAGCTTTGCCTACTGACTTGAATATCCCCCATCTCACGAAGTCGAGGAATGCAACAGGTTGGTTGCCTGTTCTGATACACCGTTCATCGGTTTTCTATGTTATGTGTTCAACCAGGGTTGCTATGATTCTAACCCACTTCAAACAAAAGCACAACAATCAAACGGTGCATCTCTCAACCCCCCCGCCCAGCGAATCTGCCTGTGCAACGCTTGCCGATTTCGATGGACTTCGACGTTTCAAAGGTCGCTCGCTGCTTGAGCCGAAGGAGAAGCGAGGAAATACAGCGGTTTTTGAGTAGATGACTTAAAATCCAAGATGTCTTTTAGATGGGGGTCCATTTTCAACCACCGATATTAGGGATTGTGCCATCTACTCTCAATCCACTATGGTTCGGACCTCTTCAAGCTTCCTCCACACCAAATATTGATCAACATGCCTGTTCCGTCCTGAACCGAAGGTCAAATCCGTAGGAACCAAAAAGGTTTAATAGTGCCAGGCCAGTGCCAGTTGACTCAAAGTGTCGCGCCCTCTTCATTTCTGTTGGGCGGGAAGGCAATTCCCCATCTACAAAGTGCGGTCGACCGGTCTCATTCGACCGGTATACCATCGTTCTTTCGAATGATCCATGTGAATCCATGTGGTTGATCCCCATGCCAAGGCGCCAGGGGAGAAGATCTTGGTTGTCCAAATCACTTCCCTGCTCTTGTTGCATGTTTACTGCATGTTGAATCACCTCCAACGATGCATGTTTACATCTGAGTGATGGACAACATCTCTGGCGACCGAGGGACCTCTTAGGGATGCTCAGGAGAGCTAGCCCTTTCCATCTGAACCAACCAGGGGACCCAAACCATAAATGTTGTTCCATCCACATGTGGGTGTGTATTTTAAGAGGGAGACCCCCCTGGCAGAATGGGTAGACTGGTCTATTTATGTCTATTTCCCTTCTTCCAGGGAGTCGTTGCCTGGGAGCTCTCACTTTTGAAATACACACATCTACACACCTAGAACCCAGACATGACCTTTATTTCAATAGGAAAAATACCATGTTTGGGCTCCAAAACAGGGGTCAATCAGGTTGTAGGGCACCCATATGTGTACTTAATGCATTTCTGCGGTCTCCATGGGCCATTTCGTTCCAACTGGAGCCGGGAATGACCAGCCGAGTGGTTGGGGTGTCACACATGTTGTTGGACATGATTTTGGTGTCGCAACTGATTCTAAACCGGAGTCACCCAGAAAAACCAACACCAACAGACGAAGGCAAAGAAACATCGCTTGCGGCTGAATGAACATCAAGGAACCTCCAGGCTGTTTGTTCACTGGGTTACCCACAAATAAACAACCCAGCCAGTGGCTCATGGACCTTAAAACTGTGGTCCAAAAAAAACTCGTTGTGAGGGTCAACAGTCATAGCTGCTTCGCGATGCTGTATCCACGGCCTATCCGCCCGCGGCGTCCGGTCCAATAAGGTGTGAAGCTGGCGTCGCGCTGCTCCCTCCACCACTGTTTGGTACCGAAACTTTGATTGCACCGGGAAGACTAGAAAAAGAACCCTGAAGGGGATTTACCCATAGGGAACAAAATATGTCCGCAAGATCCTGAGAGAGGGATTCAGAGGATCCTATAGGGAAAACAAAAACTGATCAGCGAAACCAGGAACACCTCATCGGCGGGGCACCCTGCAATCGCCAAAGCGGCATGCCCTGCCAGGCTGCCTAGCGAGGCGAGAATCTACGCGAGCAGCGGATCGATCAAGCGGCAATCCGAAGGGAGGACCGTGGGGTCGGGCATCCGAAGTCGCGGTTGTTTCAGAGACTTTCTTGGGTCTCAGGGTGTTCACATGTCATGTTCACAATGTGCTCCACTTCTTTTGCTCAACTGAGCCCCGCGTCCGTCCATCGATGATTCCTCGGGCGCCGGCCGCGTCTCGTGACGTCTCGGGACGCCTTCTTCGCTGCGCCGCGAGTCGGGGCGCCGGCGCCTCAGGGTCTGTGGATCGCAGCAAGTTCTCCAAGATCACTGAGAGACCGAGACAGAATAGACCCTATATTTGGACATCGAGGTCTTGCACTGAATCATAGGCTGCCCGATATCCGGACGGTTTACCACAGGTGGAACATGAATGTTACCCATGATGGCATTGGGGCCATCACCGAACGAATAACAAGAAAGCTACCAATAATTAGTCAGGAGTCAGGAAGTGATAAACTGGTAGCACCTGGGCAAAAAAGACGAAATTGCAAATTTGGTATTAGCTCTGCGTTGCTGTGTTGGCCGAATTTGTATCGGCCATCTGCAAGAGCAATCCACACAACTGCAACTGCACAAACACAGCATAGAGATGATGAAGTGGGATGAAGAGGGTGATACCATGGTGATGCAAGCGATGAATGTGAAGAATATGACGAGGACAGAACTGATTAGTTCACAGCCAAACAGCAGTTCGGTGTTCGGTCATTTTCCGTTCGCTTTCAGGCGGAAGAACATCAAAAGGTGGTTGGATCGGGACGGAGATGGGTGAAGGATACGGGCCCCAGTTGTAAATGAGCAACAGTAACATAGAACCAAAAACATGTCACATGTCTGTCTGGTTGGCTTCGTTCCACATCATACCACCCATGCCGCAGCTGCGTTGCTTGGTATTGAAGGTCAGTTGAACCTCATTCATGGACGTCGTCGGCCTACACCCTTGTCTTACTCCTTCTGGACCTCTGGATGGTGTGGAGACACTTGAGAGAGCCATCAGTTAACCCACAATCATGGAACAGTTTCAACTGTTGGACCAAGTAGATCGAGAGTGATCCAAAGTCCAAAGTAGATCAATGGACCAAGTAGATCAATGGATCATGCTTCACTTTGGACCAAGTAGATCAATGGATCACTCTTGTAGGGGATGGAAAGGTCAGAAAACTTCAACTGTTGGACCAAGCCGGAGGCCCAGTTCGCCCAGCGCCCGGGCCCCGAGCGGACTCTCTGTCTCCTGCGAACACGGTAGGAGTCACACAAGGCCGGCCTAAGGCCTAAACCAGCACCCAACTCTACGGGTCTCCGAAACGGTGGCTTTTTGAGACTTAAACAGAAAAAAAGAACGACTGCCAACAATTGATCTCAGGAACCCGATTTTGACTACGTTCCTCTTATCAAGGGGCTTGGTTTGGAAGTTTGGATGGTACTAAAAACAAGACCCGTTTCACAACATAGCAGCTCGGGTGCGAAGTGGATTTTCCTCTGCCTCTAACGGTTGCAACATATATATATGATGACTCAAGCTGGGTTGCGGTCGTAGTGCCAACAGGGGACACCTGGGACTGGCAACCCAGCAACCCGACCTGGATGCTCTTGGATTCTTAGAAACATTGAATCCAGGTGGGTGGAATCCAGGTGGAATCCTCCTGGATGCTCAGTCCTAGATGCTCCTGGGTGGACTGAGGACCACCTGAGAACGTTTGAAAGCTTCTTCGACAGATGTTTCGACCGGTCGAGGTTTCGAGGTCGACGGAATGAGGCGGTCGAGGTCTGGTCTTTAGAGGTCAGAGGCCAACGGAGTGGGGTCGAGGTCGGGGTCGCAGGTCTGGTGGGTGAGGCTCTAGCCAATCTTTCGGACGAGTCCAGTGCAGCCTCAACAGTCAGTGGGGTTTACAACTGCTTTTTTGAGATTAACGTGGGATAGGCTGAAATGCAATATAAATAAAGGTTTCAAGTTTCAAGGTGATGTATGGTGATGTGGGGTTCAACAACTTCGGGGTTGAAACACATGGCATGTTGAAGGTCTTTGCCCCAGGGTCTCTGAGCTGGGTCTGGTGTGTCTGCTCAAAGACTCCAACATGGTCTGTTACGGTTTGTATGTGAACATGCGTGTACAATTTACTCTGAACTAAGACCAACACCCTCTGGTGAGAGAGCTTTCCTGCACAACCTACCGACTTACCAATCCACTTGAATCCACGCTTGCACAGCTCGAAGGAATCTCTGCCCGTCCTCGGTTGGGCTGGAGCCTGGCAAAGACAAAATCCTCTAACTCAATCCGATTTGGGTCAAGAACGACTCCTACCTTCCCAGAAGGTACAACTGGACCCTCCAAACCTACAGTCTCTCCAGTCACCCTCTCAGAGGGTGAAGTATGCACACTGATTCAAAGCAGTTAGATGGAATTTATCAGGTCTGACTTGGAAAGCAACGTCCTTCAACCACGACCTCCAAAGCGCTCCAAAGACATAATGATTTCGAGGGAATGGAAAGGAACGAACACCTAGTCCCCCTTAGTATCAAGTTCGGGAACGAACTGAACAACCAATGGACACAGTAACAACCTCGGAATTTGGAGCCTCAATTGGTTTTCAAGGTCCAAGTCCAGGCTATGGAGGGTCTGCCTTCTTGTGTCACAATGAAACCACAGTGAAACGCCCAAAACTAGTAACCTCATGTAACCTCTGCGACTCAGAGAAGCAACACGCATTGGTCACTCAAACAAATCAAACAAACAGGACACAAAGAAACACACCATGCATACTCAACAATTGCCCTCAGAATGCCGTTTTGGATTAACGTCCAACACCTTCAACGCCACGGGCGTTGGTCTATTTAACTCCTTTCTGACCACCAGAATCAATGAAACATTCAACATCAAGAAACACAAAAACAACTACTGACCTGACGACCTGGCAGTTTAATCGCATTGTCAGGTCCCTCATGTCGACCGGCATGACAGCACCAGGGTTTGCACAAACAGCTATCCTGGTTCTGGAGATTTCTGGAGCGGATGTTCTATCGCATCGCTTCTACGAGTAGATTGAACCACCACATATTTATTGATGTAAATAACACGTTCAAAGTGCCAAGTGAAGAACTCTTGAGACATCCATTGGATCGCCGGATTGTCGCATGTGAAACCCTGCGGACCTAATTGGTGAACCTGCGCCTTCAGCGCGATCCGCGCAGCGATCCGCACCTTGGCGCTTCTCCCGATCCTCCCGGCGCCTGAGGAGCACACCGGGATGCGGAGGAACCGGGGTCCACTCAGTCGACGCAAATCCCATGACCCGGCTGGGCCCAGTGGATGATGGTTAGTGAAAGCCTTTAGAGACATATAGTGAATAATTCATACTATTTTCGCGACTGTTACTGATCATGGGGCACGCCCTAACTCAGCCCATGACAACACTCCTCTTTTCTTGGCCCCCTCAAAGGAAGATGTTCCGGACTGGTAGGGATATTGGAGCACAATAGGACTTGACCTGGAAGGCAAGTGAAGTAGGATA